GTAATGTATCTTTATAGTAAAAAACCTCATCTTGGTCAACTTTTTCACGGTCAAAGTTCCGGACATGATGTCATTAGGTGAATTTTTTATACAAAAAACAAAGGAAAACTAATTTGCAATTCACCTAATGACATATCTTATCCGGAAACTTTGACAGTGAAAAAGTTGATGAAGATGGGATTTTTTATTATTTAACAAATATAAAACATTTTCCGTGTTGATATACAGTTATATCAACATGAGTGGAATTGGGAAAACGAGAAATTGTATGGAAACACGAAGGGCGGAGTGTTTTCATACAATTTCGAGTTTTCCCAACTTCCACGAGTGTTGATATAACTATATATCAATACGGAAAAAATGTTTTATATTTTTTTTATAATATAGCAATGCCAAAAGCCCGAAGGATAAGAAAAATTTCCGTGTTTACAAGCGGCGGAAAATTTACCGTGTTGACATTGAGTTATATCAACACGGCTCTTAGCCAATCAGCGTTCAGACTTTACAAATGCTATATTATAAAAGTAATTGGCATACAATTCAATGTTGAAATTTCTCACGCAGTTTATAATAAAAAATGTCGATAGTTAAGTGCTCATTCAACACCATTGTTGGCGGTAAATGCTCATACGATCCAAAAGACAGAAAAAAATCAACGGAAATTGTACCACTACAGGCTTGTAAAAGAGACATTGCAGGACACAGGAGCTTATGGGCAATACCCGACGTGGAAAACGAAGTAGAACTAATTCTTGCGAGAGCATCCATATTTTCATCACCAGATCATAAAAACAACTTGTCCTATACTATAAGTCCAGCTCACCGAGCATCGCTGGGTATTGGTTGGTGCCGAGGGTCGAACAGGTGCAGAATACCAGAAGAATTGTCGCAGCATCAAAACGGAAAAGCCAGTCGAGGTAGAAGGCAATGGCCAAAGGCTGAAAGAGGCGTAAGAAAAGCAGCTTCCAGGGTTATCTTGAAAAAAAACTGGGATATTTCTACCAGTAGGAACAGGTAAGGAGTAATTCAATGCGAATCAGGTCTTCATGGTGTAGCTGTTAATTTGTTCATTGCAAAATCATAACATATTCAACGGAAGTAGGGAAGGATGAAACGCGTAAGCGGAATAGCGGAAACGAAATGGCTGAAGCGGAAAATAATGCGGAATTAGGGCCAAACCGCGGAATTTTATTTTGAATTGAATTTTTGTTTTGTTTTTTCATTTCCTAACAGCAAGGCATAATAAAAACTATATTATCAACAATTATTTTGAAAAGTATATGTATTTATCACAGTCCCATATAGCACGGGGGCAACGCTGAACATTTTAAAACCTGGTATGAGTATGTAATGTTCCTTTTTATGCAGGAATATGTACGAATTGCAAAAATTAAAGCATTCAGTCAGATGAACATTAAGCAAGACTGGGACGAAAGCACTGGCAGCATACAAGATGAAAGCATTGAAATTGTATTCAAAACAAGAGCAATGTCATTGGTATGAAACTTTTTGAAAATATGATAATAATTTTAAACGATCAAGATCTATGATATTTTATTCCCCGTTTTAGACGGAAATAAATGATGACTTTCCAGCTACACAAAGTACGCTTGACAAGTCTTCAAACACGAACCTCGAGTTGCAGACACCAATGGGAAGTGTTTTCTCTCCTTCAGAGACTCTTCTGGAGAGTAACCTTTCTGATTACTCTGACGAGAAGTTGAAGCCCCTTGATCATTTGAATAACCTATTAACCAGTAGAGATGTCAGTCCGGTAAGGTGCGTATTGTGATCGCCGTGGAACGAAACTACTGAACGGACAAAACGAGAGCATACACGTAAAGCTAGACAAGCTCTTTCTGTCGTACTTGGTGAGATTGCTCCTAATGAAGCAGATAGCCTTTGGCAAGCTTTAATATCTTCATCGAAAGCGAACAGTGAACGTAATGATGAAAGTGTAGACGAGTCTTTGATGAAAGCCCTTGCCGATTGTTATAGAAATGCTAATACATGGGACACGCGAAGACAGATCTTATCGCACATGGCGGACAAAGCAACGTTTTCAAAGATTTCTCAGTATATTCCTGGTCTCACTAGATATCGTTTTTCGTCTGCAAGACAGCATGTTCTAGAGCATGGCAGAGGAGCCCAAGTTCTACCGAGTTTGCAGCCAAAAAAGGTAGTGCCGCAAGATAAATTATCGCATTTCCTGGATTTTATAACCAGTCCCCACATTATTCAGGACCTCCCGTTTGGCGGTAAAACAATCATATTGTCAAATAAGGAGGTACTAGAAGTCCCAAATGTAGTGCGCAACATGATTCCAGAACGTATCGTTAAGCAGGGACTCGATTATATAAGTTCCGCAAGAGCCGAGGTCTTCGAAAATCTTGAGAGCGTGGTGGACTGGCTGAAAGAGAGCATAGAACTAGATACTACATGGGCAAGACAACAGAAAGAGTCGTTTAAGTCAGGTAAACGTTACTTGAAGAGCGATTACAAGGTATGAATATAAAATATAACGATTACATCCGATTTTGTTTTTGTTCTTTTTGTGGGATTTGATGTGATTTTTTAATTTGGTGTAAAAAAAGGAGTTTAGGAAAAATCTCACTTGCTTAAGCGTATCCATATAATTATACAAACAAAAAACAATAACAGATTCCCCTTCGGCATCGTTTTTTTTTCTTTTCACAACAGTACTTGTCCCATTACCTATTTACACCAAAACAAATGTCAGTATTTGAGGCAATAAAGGCTTTAAAAACGAATAGAAGTTATAAAGTGAGAGGCAAGAAAAAATGCGCAAAAATGAAACAATATTTTCCTATTTAGTTGTTATATGAATGATGTGCGCTGACAAAATGCAATTTTCATTGATAGGTACACGTTTCAAAGACTTCAACCGTAAAAGATCATTGCAGAAGATTTGCACTCAGTAATCCTAGTGATAAAAACTTCCACGGTCTCCTTGCTCCCACAAGCATACCCCGAGCTGCGAGCAGTGCGATAGTCTTGATAACGCTATGGACGAGATTAGAAAAGCAGTTATCAAGTTGGGGGAATCTAGAGCCTGTTACTCTTCACTGGTGGAACTAAAAGAAGAGCTTCTGTTCATAGTTGAAAAGTCAAAGCAAGACATAACGTCATGGAAAGCCCATCTCTTGCGATCAGTCAATCAGGATGAAGCAAGAGTAGATATCATCGACAAGCTAGATGAGACATCCGTGCTGCTGGTTCAGGATTGGGCTATGAAATTCCTACCTAGGAAATATAGAGAAAGCCAAAGCGATTGGTTTAGTAAACGAGGCATTTCATGAATAAGAAAGGATCTTGATGGAGAGATGCATTACTTTCGTGAACATTTTTGAAAGCTGTACCCAAGATAGTTGTACTGTGGTGGCAGTGATGTCCAATGTACTTCAGCGACTCAAAGAAATCGTACCAGCCTTGAAGTCTGTTTACTATTGACAAGATAACGCTGGATGCTACCACTGCGGTTCAACAATTGTAATAGCAGAGCTTTGCGGACGACGTCATGGCCTTAATGTTAAACGAATGGATTTTGCTGATCCGCAGGGGGGAAAAGGCACATGTGATCGAAAAGCAGCCACCATTAAACCTCACATGAAGATTTTTCATGATGAAGGCAACAACATTGAATCGGCTTCCGACATGAAAACGGCCATCCTGTCATCAGGCGGTGTTCCGGCAGTTAACGTTGCTGTTTCAGGACCTCCAGATGATTCAGAGTTCTCCAAAGTTGAGATCAAAGGTGTGAGTTTCTACACAAATGTTGAGTATACGCGTGGTGGCTTCAAAGTGTGGAAAGCTTATAACATCGGAAAGGGGAAAGTTATTCCACGAAACAAGTTCAGCATCTCCTCATTCTCTGTACCACAGGTGACAAACCTTGACATAGGATCCCAAGAAAGTCAGTCAGAGTTCCTAACGGTTAAATCCAAGAAAAAGAGCGAGAAAGAAGAAGATGACCTCCATTCAGAAAGTCTTCCAGTTTCAAGAGAAGATATAGTAGACGACCAAAATGAAAGTCATCTTTTTTCCTGTCCAGAACCGGGATGTATCAAGCGTTATCAACGTTTTCATTCATTACAGCGACATCTTGATTGTGGAAAACACAAACGTGAGCTTGAACAAGAAACAATTTTTGACAGAGCAGCTATTGGTTACGCTGAAAGGCTTGATAAGCAGTCTGGCTGTGTTCCTGAATTACAGGCGTTTCAAAATGCAAAATCGCCTAGACAGCACGTCCTTTCCATGGGCTGGGCTCCCAAATCTGCACAAACAAAACGAACACGTTTTAACGAGAAACAGAAAAACTACATGACGACAAAATTCAACATTAGAGAAACCACAGGCTTTAAAGCTAACCCAGCTGATGTAGCGAAGGCTATGATGACAACAAAAGATGACAACGGTGATCGCATGTTCACAAGCGAGGAATTTGTGACAACACAACAAGTGTCAAGTTATTTCTCTCATCTGGCATCGAAGAAAAGACTGCCCAATGCGCAGGATGATGATGACGCTCTTGCGGCGGAGAATGAGACAGACCTTCAAGATCTTCAGGAATTAGTAGTTCAAGAAGTATCTCTGCAACACCCAATTTATTACAACCGTCACAACATGTGTGAGCTCATTAGCAATTCAAAGATGAAAAGATTCGCAGTTCCAATGCTGCGACAAATGTGCATTCATTTTGATATTGACATTAACGACATTAAGGCAAACTTAAAGCAGCCTTACATAGACAAACTGACTGTCTTTGTTGGACAATGCCCCTGTGCAATGTAAGCTGGCATAGCAAGACTTACGACAACATCTAGGACAGTCTAGTCTAGGTCTAGGATAATATAAAAACTCAGTTAATTTATTGATATCACTGACATATCCGGAAAGTTTTTGCATCGTAAAAATATTGGTTTCCATGATACAAAATTTTAAATGAAATTTAAATTGTAAAACGGTACCTAGTTCTTTAAGTAATGTTGTTGTTTCTAGTGTAATTAATATTATTACCAATAATATATGATTGAATTAATGCAATTTCCGCGAATAGTAAAATATATCCAATCGTTACAAATTACGTTCAATAGAAAGCTCTAAGATTCTGTTTTAAAAACAATTAAGGCAGCCGCGTTTTTCCATCTTGCAAAATTTTATTTTCTTCTATATTTTGGAAGGATTCAAGTATCTTTCAACCCAAGTTTGATTTTGATAAGAGATGGCGTAACAGCCGTAGGGTTCTAAAAATAGCTTTGTTTACGTGGAAATTAGATAATTTTAAGGACGTTTTTCTCGGCTTTATTACAATAACCCAACTCAATGTTTTTGTTATGCACGAGAGCAACATGTCAAGTGTCAACAGGTCAATTTTCAAGGAAATCCGTATTATAGCACATAACGAAACAACCAGTTGTGTTTAGGATATAAAATTGTACCGCGAATGTGCCAAAAAGGCACTTCGGTCATTCAATTTTACTCTTTCACAAAATAGATGAAAAAACCTATAATTACCTCGCAGCGTTTCAGTACTAATACCTGTATTAAAATTGAGTTTGAATATCTTAGTTTTCTGTTGTTTTAAGGCGCGCTGAAACAGTTTTAAAATCTGACCTACACCATGTCTACTTCTATTGTTTTGACGCCGTATGAGGGTAAAATCAATTATTCATATTTTCTCGCGAAAGAATGCGTTTTTTTGCAAATCAAACTACATCACGATTCTAAGCTATCACAGGACTATCCAAAGGCAAAATATGAAGAAAATCGATTTCTGCACTTGTGCCAAGATTTGAAGATTTTGCTTGATTTTTATAGACAGTCGCTATTAAACAACTTGAAGAAGAATTGGAAGGTATTAATAATTTCCAAAGCCAGAGTGAGCACCAGTTTATAAAAGCTTTTACCCCAAGAATGATGAAAGTCAATCCTGAATATAAAACGAACCGACCAAAACTTCTTCGTGATATTAGAATATTGCGTAAGTTTTTTGGTGGTAAAATTCCCGAAGAAACTACAAATGATCCCGAACAGCTTAGAATTACAATTGCCAAGTGTAAACGTACGTTACAAGATGAAGTTGGCGATGTAGGAGTACTCGGCATCGTAGCACACGAACGAAGACAACAAAGTCAATCAAGCGGACACGCAGCGAAATTCAATATGAACATGAACTTGTCGTCTTGTCGCCTGTCAAAAACAACGGTAAAGTCTTGACACAAAAACAAAATATAAACACAGATTTCATCGAAACAAAAATCATGAATAATGAACAAAATACGAGACAAAAGCATTCCCGAGCTAATAAAGGGAAGAAAAAGCGTAAACGTAAAGGCAAGTCAGTTTACCACGACAGATCTTCAAGTAACTCCGAGCTGAGTTCATCCTCAAGTGTCAGTAGTAGATCGTCCAGCAGTGATTGCCTCCACAGTCGGAAAAACCCTAAGAAAGCCTCTACAAGAAGAAAACTACCGTACAATGAGCAGTCGCACAGAATAACGGGTTTTACCCATTTTCCAGTTCAAAATGTGTACTCCCAACAGCCTTTCTATGAGAATCATCAAATGGGCACATTTCCTATGGCTATGCATATGTTGCCTGCATAAAACTACTTCGGGGCACAATCGTCGTCAATACCGCACAGTACATTAGAACACATGCAGCGGTTTCAAACAACAAACATTGGAATTAAACACTGCTACTGGTGATACAGAATCGGGTCAAACGACTGTCAACGAAGAAACTGAAAGGCCTTATGAAAGCTCTCCAGGTTTAGATCTGCTTTCTTCTGCAGCATATTTTATGCAAGACAAGCATTAGATAATTATAGCTGACGTTGCAGCTGTACATACTTCTACTGTGGTTATACATGTAATACTACAAGTTGAGTTCGTATATTGGTTAAGTTTTGCATTTGTGTTTTGTATCATCAGATTTACATAAGAACTATATTGGCGCGCATCGGATTGCAGAATTTATTTCAAAAAATTATGTATTTTATTGTTGTAATTGATATATTGGCGGTATTCATTGCTGGTACAGTGTACCTCGTTTTTGTTGGATGGTATCGTAATAAATAGGTTGTTGTGCATTTATGTACTTTGGTTTGTTCGTTGATTGCATGGTATATGAAAAATTAAGGTTAAAAAAACGCTGTCAATTTACATGCGAATTAACGTGCAGAAATTGCGAAGTTCAAAGCGAAACAGCCTGAGTCCACGCTAGGAAAAGTTGTTCTCGACAAATTCTCTAGTTCACTGGTGGAGAGGGTTGAACATGGACGATTTGAGGGGGTAAACAAAGTTTTTTTATATGGAAATTTTATTCACGGTGAAAGCAATAAAAGTTACATCATTCAATTGAATTATCCATGCGCACCCATCCATACGATACAAATAACAGAATTTTTGCGCTAAAAGAATGTTTTTTGCTACGAAAGGTCAGGTTCAGAAGTTTGACTTAAACCAAGGTGAAACTATAAATTTTAGGTTAACAAAGATTTGTTACATGGGAATTTTGTATGGAATTACTTGTAGTCGTAATGATAATACAGTATTTGGCTGTTCGGCAAATGCATTTTTCTTGCCTTTCTGCTCCCATCAGTCCCATGCATATAATATAAATTACAATAAATTTGCTGAGTAGTATAGGAAGTAGCGGTTCTAGACCACTTTTTCAGCCCGCGATCCCACCCCACTTCCGGTCAGCGGTTTCCCAAATTTTCCCCAAAACCGCGGGCTCAGTTTTTTCTAGACCATTTTTTTAGTGGTCTTTTTTACCTCATTTTTTAATCTTTATTATCATATTTAATTATACTCAAGGGGCCGAAGCTCTTAGGGTCAAACACATTACTTGAATCATCTTTATTATTCTGTGTGTTGACGTCAACGTTAATATTATTTGATACAGAGAAATTTATATTACCAGCCTTTCCATTCTTACTAGAACTCTTACGACAACCACAAATCTTACCTAACCAGGAGAAACATGACCTCCATCTTGACATCTTACCTTATGATAAAACACATGTTAAATACCTGACCCTGAATATCGAAGTGACCAGCAAAAGGACATATCCATACTCGATCCAGTGGGCATTGAGTGTTCAGGTTTAACTATAATACACCAAGCCAGCGTGTTATCTACCAATTCGACCTGGTTTCCTAAATAGAACATACTATTACCCTTGAAAACGTAGCAAGCTGTACTTCCACCTGTAGTTGTGTAAGTTCCGTTAAACCAGGTGTGTGACAGTCTTCTTAAGTCTATTGTTCTCAGAGCAATTTCCTTATTAACCTGGGTAAATTTTCCATTAGATTGTTTTTCCCATACAGTAGCCCATAGAATTAGAGCTAGTGGTATATTTAGAATGGTTGAAAAGGTTGGAAAGTCTGATTTAATAGTAATCGACTCAAGGTTGAGGTCTGCCATATTATTAATAGGATCTGTTCTCCATGAAGGTGGAATCTGATCGTGACAGTAAGCGTAGTACCTTGTTGCTGCAACTGAAACACCACGATAACCCCAGATCCACTCAGCGTGAATATGACGGTTTATTCTTACGTATCTCTTATCGGCCACTGCTTGTACAAGTCCAGTGGAAGGTTTAAGGAAATTCCTTTCTACCCATTGTTTGTTAACAGCATCCTTATCATTTACCGGATCCTTTAGATCAAGAATACCACTTGAATCTCCCATATCCAAATCACCCTTTACCAATCCACCTCTACTACTCATGAACTCATTAGTCGCCCATCCCTTATTAACAGCTGAACCGTCAGTTGTAGGGTCACCAACTTTTGTTAACTCGAAATCGTTAACATCAAGGTTACCTGATAAAACACCACCATCACGTTTCAGGAACTGTTTACACCAATTGCTCATAGTTCCATAAGAAACTGCACTAGAATCCCCAACCGAGCCACTATTTAGCCCCGTAATACTATTACCACCCATGTCAATATTACCGCTCATAGTAAGTCCACTACTACTCGTAGAACTCACGCTGACATGATCCGTGACCCATTTCTTAGACACAGCAGAATTATCAGTAGTAGGAGCACCTAACTTTATTATTTCATTGTTATTCATGTCAAGGTCATCAGATAGTGTAATACCACTATAAGTCTCACGTTTACGTCTACCTCCAGAGATCTTATTTTCAACCCACCCTCTATTTACAGCGTCTGTGAGATACTCAGGATTTCCGAGTTCACGTATTCTGTTACCTTTCATCCACAAGGTACCGGTCATATTGTTTTTAGAACCACCCGCACGCGTGACAACATTATTTTTTACCCACCCCATGGAAACAGCAGATGTATCAACACTAGGATTACTAATATTTTCAATTTCATTTCCACCCATCTTAAGATTACCAGTCATTTCACTTAGACCGTTTAGTTTAAGATAGGTAACTAGCTGGCTAAATCTTACAAGACTGGCTGAATCTAACCCATCTGAGAAACTTTTAGGGGCCTTAGAGAAGCTAATAGGCCCGGTTACACTCTGTAATAGGAAAGAGTCGCTTAGCCTTAGAAATGTTCCCTTGTTTGAGACAAACCACCTTTTTGTAACAACAGATTGGTCAGTAGTGGGATTACCAGCATTTTTAATTTCATGTCCACCCATTTGAAGATCACCTGACATTGTAAAACCTGAGGAACTGGGAATTGTAGACAGCTTACTCTCAACCCAACCTTTAGATACAGCTTCACTACTAAGTTTAGGGTCAATAATATCAAATAGTCTCCAGCCTCCCATGGAAACATCTCCTTGCATAGTTCCACCTTTTTTAACAAAGTTATTATCAACCGCCCACTTTTTTGTGACAGCTGACTGATCCTCAGAGGGATCCTTAAGATTCTTAATCTCATGGTCTTTCATATCAATATCCCCAGATACAGGTTTATTTAGCTCACTAACTACCCAGTCCTTACTAACAGCAGACTTTCCAGTTGTGGGATCGCCTAAAGCCTTTATTTCATTGGTTGACATATTGAGATCATTTGTAAGGATAAGTCCAGGTAGGCTTACATGTATATGCCTACGACTACCTTCAACCCAACTCTTACTAGCAGCATCACCCGGATTAGTAGGATTATCAAGATTAGTTATCTTATTACCTCCCATGTTAATATCCCCAGTCATTGTAAACCCTGCTGGTTGAATTGTAAGAGCAGCCCGTTTAATGATCTCATCATCCACCCACTTTCTTGTGGTCGCAGAAGTATCATCTGTAGGTGCACCCAGACCTTTCACCTCATTACCATCCATCTCAATGTCACCCTTCATGGTAAATCCATCCTTATCAAACACACTACCACTTGATGGGTCAACTTTATTTACTCCTTTATTGTATCCTCTATAGAGAGCCATTTTATAGAATACATAATGTTTACAGGGCAACTTTCATTAGAATGAATACAACTATAGCACCAATTCCAGCTGCAGCAATAGCACTGACTCCTGAAGACTCATTAGTACTAACCACACTATGCCCCGTGACAGGAACAACCTGAGTCTCAGCACCTGTAGAACCTCCCCGGGGCTTAACTCTTGTAGAACCTCCTGGAACTTTTTTAGTTCCATGAATAGTATCAAGGTGGTGAACAGGTGTAGTGTCTTGATGCTGTTTCTTTGGAGGATCAGTCTTCTTAACCCCAACATAGTTTAGATTAGTATTAATCCCAAAGGTGGTTGTCTTTGTAGGACTTGATAGTATATTATTATATCCAGGAATAGGTGTTTCAAGAATGATTAGCTTAGAGGGAATCAGTATTATGTTAGGATTGATTGCCATATTCAGTATTACATTAGTGTCCCTTATGGCTATTCTCATATTACTAATAGTAACGTTTACACTAGTCTGCACTGTGGTGTCATTAACGATTCTTCTAAAAGCCTGTTGCGTTTGAAGGGACTTACCTAATTGACTACTAACAATACTCCACCTTGTTTTAGCTTGAGCTCCCAACACAGAATAAACATAACTTTCCACACTATCCATAAGCAGCTGTACTCCAATCTGTGTGATACCATTCGATTCATATGGTATGAAGTGGAGATGATCAGAATTCGAGTAGTTTACCCATCCAGTTTTAACATATGTTCCGCCTCCATGACTGGCTCCATTGAAAGCCTGAATACTAATTGGAAGATGGCCTTTCATTCCACTTATGTCGTATGATTTCATCAGCTCAGGGTTTTTAATAAACTTTCTCATTGTATAGTAAAGATGATATCTAGCTATTGAAGTAATCTGCTTGGGGTTATAATCATTCCACTCCAGATTCTTAACAGAGATACCACATAGAAAGGTTGCAATATACGCGGAGCATATCTGAGTAAAATAAGGTTCGTTCACAAAGTCCATACTTACGGTGCGTATATCAGTTTCAATACCACTGGGAAGTTCATCAGTACCTCTATTGTTTTCGTAAAGCACTGACTTATTTTTCCAATCGTAAAGTTTTATCGGACTAAATTTAGAATAGAAGTAATCCTTATCAGAAACGTACACCTTGAAATTATGCAGGGGATATCCCAGATTAACAACCTTCTGGAAAACTGGGTAGTGGTGAATACCCCATTCATGCTTAGTATCCCTCAAATGTGTAAAAGCTGGTATGTTACCTCCTGAAGCCCAAATCAACGGCCACCCATCCTTTGTCTTTTTGGGAGAAGATATTATTAAACTATTTGCAGATGTCTTTGGTAACTTTTTAGCTACCTCTAGTGGAGGTTGTTTCATATCAGTCATAGGTACAAACTGAACAGGCACCTCAGCCTTTTCCTTAGTACCAGTAAGATAAGATGTGAACTCCTTATTATTCAGAAAGCCGCCATACCTAATGTCATATGAAGTTATGCCATCTAAGTCCACAAACCATGTTACAACTCCAATATCACCACTACCTGTAGTCATAGCTTCAAACCTAAACCTGTTCATATCAGCCTTAGGATACCTTCTAACAAACCTAGCCCTCTCAGCATTCTCAGCTTTTTTACCAGCAATAGGATCAACATCATTTTCATCTTCTTTTCCACACTTTTTTTCATAATCTTGGTAAGACCTATAAGGCGACTTCCCAACGTCTCCTCCACCTGGTATCATTCTTAATAACCTAACGTATGTTATTAAGATGAAGTTCACAGTTTTACTTCAAGGTTCGCACACAAATGTCTTACTACAGAATTCAGTTCTAACGAGTAATTATAATTCAGTCTTCATAAAGAGAGTTTCAGTGTTTTGGGAATACTTCAATATAACAGGACCAACAACTATTCTCAAGGTAAAAACAGCTGACGGGGAATCCGATGTCATTGTCAACAAGGGTTACTACACATTTGATAGTATGAGAAAATTACTTGAGAGACACGGTGTTAAACTAACATATTTTCCTGAAACGGCAGGATGTCAAATAGAAGCTGTAAAGCAAGACGTTACAATAGGAACCAGGTTTTTAACAATGCTTGGCTTTAATAGATTTAGTAATCCAATGATCTTACTAAAAGGAAGGAGTCTAACTAGTGATAGCAAAGTTGACTTTAATAATGGTCTACGAGGTGTAAATGTACACTGTAATCTGGCTAATAACAGCTTTAATGTTAACACCTGGGGAAGACATAGTGATGTAATAACAAGTGTTACAATTCCAACTGACAGACCGTTATTGGGCTCAGTTGTTAGCTAGATAGATAGATAGATAGATAAACTTTATTTAAACACGCTGACCTCGTCAACCGAAGCTGATTTCCACGAGGGGCGTGCGAAAAGTATACAGAAAAGAATTATAAAACTATTTACAAAATTATATAAGATATATAGTATTATATGAACTAACAAACTAAGGTAGTAATCTATATACAGATAATATTAACATCTATGTTAATTAGCTATCAGTCAATGTGAGTAGTGATTTTCTTTCGAAAAGAAGAAAAGGATTTGCTCTCTCTTATTTCTTTAGGAATAGAATTCCAAAGGTGTGCTCCGTCATACACGAAACTTTTTTTCATATTATTAGTACGCGGTTGTGGTAAACAAAGACTACTTGAAATGTTCCGAAGTTTGTAGTTTGTCACCTCACCCTTATATGTGAAGAGATTACTGAGTGATTTCGGTCCCATTTTGTTCAATAATTTGTACATGATTTTTGCTTTACTTTTCTTCCTTTCTGTTTTAAGTGGCTTCCAACCCAATGCTTGCAATGCAACAGAGTGATCTATGTCATTGCTCATATTCAAAATAATCCGAGCAGCTCTGTTTGTAGTTTTTGGAGTCTTTTTGATTGCGTTTCTCCAAACACATCCCATACTTCACAGCAGTAATCGAAATATGGGCGAACAATAGCATTATATACAGAAAGAAGTGTTTGCTTATCAGCAAATTCTTTTAAACGTCTAAGAGCCGATATTCCAGATGTAATTTTCTTGCAAATATTCTCAGTATTAGTTTTCCAAGATAAATGCTGGTCAATTGTCACTCCAAGAGTTTTGGATTCATAAACTTGTTTAATTGACTCGTTTTCAATTTTCACGTTTAGTTGCAAATTTGAAATATTTTTTATCATTTGTTTTGAACCAATTAACATAAACTCAGTCTTAGCAACATTTAGACTAAGTTTATTGGCAATTAGCCATTTCCTAAGTTTTTCCAAATCAGAATTCACTGCAGTTTCAAGATCAGTAATAGAGTTTCCAGAAACTGTCAGGTTCGTATCGTCAGCAAACAACCGAGGTTTTGTTTTATCCAGGCATCTACATCAATGTAGAAAGCAGAATTCCTGTAGTCAAGGGTTCTTTCTCAGAACTTGTATTCTACATGACAGATCAAGACGGGAAACCTATTGATATAGGTGAAGTGCTACTTGAGATGTACCTTGAGCACTAGCTTACATTGGTTAATATAAGATGGACGATGATATTATGAAAGAACAGGGACTACGAGATATTTACTACAATCCTAAGACTGGATTTCAAACACCAGAGAAACTATATCTTAGAGCAGTATCGGAAGGACTTAAAGTAACCAGAAACCAGGTCAAGAAATGGATAAACGAGCAAGACACATACACTAGGTATAGACAAGTGTTCAGGAAACATAAGTTCAGACAGACGTACGTTCAAACCTTAGGTGAACAGTTACAAATGGATTTAGTTGACATGACAAAATATGATGACAAGAACAAGGGATACCGATGGATTCTCACATCCATTGAAATACTGAGTAGGTACGCATTCACAGTACCAGTGTATAGGAAAAACGCGACATCAATGAAGGACGCAGTCAGTAACATTTTAGAGCAATTTAATAATCGTTTTGGTAAATACCCAAAATTCGCCCAGTTTGATCAAGGCACAGACTTCTACAACAAAGAAGTAAAGTCATTGCTCAATAAACATAACATTGAGTTTTTCTCTACTTACTCAGACAAAAAGGCCGCAGTTGTGGAAAGATTTAACAGAACACTAAAATCGCTAATGTGAAAGTACTTCTACAGTGCCAGTACATATAAATGGTTAGACGTTCTTCAAGACTTAACTGATAATTACAACAGTTCAGTGAACAGATCAATTAAAACAACACCAGACAGTGTCAACGAGTCCAACTGGACTGAAGTATGGAAGACACTTTTTAGTCACAATTTAGGCAAGCCGTCAGAACCAAAGTTTGCTGTTGGAGAAAGTGTTAGAATTTCAAAGTACAAATCAGTGTTCACAAAAGGGTACGAAGCAAACTTCACAGAGGAGTTGTTCACTGTGACAGAAGTGTTTCACGGCCATCCAAACACGTACACAATAAAAGACAGTGCTGATGAACCAATAATTGGCAGATTCTATGAACAAGAACTGTATAGCGCTGAAGGAAGAGAACCTGATTTCAAAATAGAGAAAGTACTAAGAAGAAGAACAGTGAAGGGTAAAAAGATGGCTCTCATTAAGTGGTTAGGTTATGATGACAAATTTAACAGTTGGATACCAGCTGGAGACATCAAGTCCCTAACATAAGTTAAAGTATTATGGAGGACTACGATGACCGCGATGATACTGAGTTGGAGGAGGTAGAAAAAAGTTATCCTCAATATGACAACCTTGATTATGATGACCTAACGACAGCCTTTAGTGAGTTAGATGCAAGGGTGAAGGGAGAGGCTATGTATGGTGATGATCCTATAGTATTAACCAATCTTAAAAGTGAACTGGACTATGTGAAGAGTCTCATGGAGAGCCGTGCAATAGCAGAAACAACTTTCACTGAAGGAAATGATGGTACAGTGAACATTTCAGGTCCATCAGGAAGCACAACCACCCCGGGAGTAGATTTCGTAGAAGATCCAAACAATGTACTTCCAGACGTACTAGATGCATTCAACGAATCATTTGACGCTGACTGGGACGAAATAGAAGCCCGCCTAGAGAAACTAAATAAGATTTCAACAGAAAATAAAAAGAGAGATTTTGAAAACCAAGTGGAGCGTGTTCAAGCTGTCACAAGAGTTATCAAGGGTAAGGAGGGACTGATACTAGATCCTAGGAATAGATACGTCAGGGAACTCATAAAACGATCATCTGTAAAAACACTCAAGGATGGCACAGAGGTGTTGGTATTTAGAAGTGAACAAGGTATTGATAAAAGTGGCACACAAATAATGAAACGTGGTAAGACCAGTAAACCTGTGTACTCCAAGAACTCCACTGCATTAAGAGAATACAAGGACCTTATAAAGAAAATAAAAGAGGTACCTACGAATCCTGACAATATAATTGGAAGTGATGAGGACACTAGAGAAGAGCCGCAATTTGATGACAGTGATGAGGAATACGCTGACCGTCAGAATATTGAGTTAATAGACATAAGTGCAAAATTAGGAGATCTTCCAGGGTTAACAATGCAAGAAAACAATGAACTAAGAGGTGTTCTTAACCCACCTGATGGACCAAGCATAGAAGGTAGAACAGGTCCCAATGGAGCGTTGCAAATACAAGCTGACTACTTTAACGAAGCTATTAATGAAACCGTGAAACAAGCCGGCTCTGTGGAAGGTGTAACTGAGTACAATGCTCTTATAGAAAGAATTGATAGTTTGAAGGAAGCTAGGGATAGGACACTGGAGCAGAGAGTAGTAGAGGAAGCAAGAGAGGCACAGTTGGAAGATATTTCTAGATTACGTAAATTTATAGATTGGGTAGGAAAGGAAAAAGTGGGACTTGTAGGGATAGCAGTGTCAACAGCAAGTTTAATTACAGCCCTATTAATTCATGCTAGGGGAGCTATTGTGAAGACAGCAAAGGCCACTGGTAAAGTAGCAAAAGCATTAGCAAATTTAGCAAAGAAAGCAGGACCAATTATAGTTCCAATCCTGAACACCATTGCAACAGCGCTATCCTGGGGAGCCAGAGGAATTACCTGGCTAGCGTCTAATTTATGGGTACTAGCTGTAGCTGCGGCCTTAATAGTATATAATTATTACACAAAGTAACTTAGCTATGGAGGAACACCAAGAGGAATACGATGACCGGAGAATGGAAGAGTTGAGGGAAAAGTATCCAAACTATGAAGAAATGGATATAGAAACTTTAGATAGCGAATTACCGTACCTTGACAAGGATCTTAGGGAAAGTGAAACTACTGAGGAGACCCAGGATATTAACGAGGAAATTAATTACGTACAGGAACTAAGGAGAAGAAAAATGTTAAGTGAAGACCTTACACGAGAGCAATTAGATGAGAAATTCCCTGACCTATCTAATCTGTCATACGATGATCTAATGGATAGGGGAGACAGACTTTTAAATGAATTAATACTATCCGATTTGGATGAAAACAGTTTCAAAGAAAAGTCGGAAGAACTGAGGTACGTTAGAATGCTATCAAATGATTACCAAAGAGAGTCAAATCTAAATAAACTTCTCAACTTAAGAGATAAGGTGAAAAAGAGGGATCTCATTAAACGGGATGATCGTAGGAGACTGCAGAGGCTCAGGTTATGGGCAAGGGAGAATGCAGGCATCTTATCAGCTGTTCTGATTTCATCATCAGCTATAATCATAGGACTGGTAGCTTCAACTAGAAACATATTATGGAAAGTAGGTGACACAACAGGAAAACTCGATAAGCGGATCAGTGAGTTGGTAAACAATCAAATAGAACTACCACCTGTATTCCAGAAGATAGCCGATGGAGTAGAGTTAGCAGCGGATAATATATGGATAATCATTGTATGTGCAGCAGCAGCAGCACTGCTGTACAAATACAACTAAACATTACATATTGTATAAAGTATGAATACCACAGAAAGAGAACTCCAACCTGGTTTCAGGAGAAGCCGTATGACATCCATAAAAGGACTTAGAACCAGAAGTGTTGTAACTTTCAATCCAACAACAATTAGCCCGGGGGAAGAGCTGTATATTAACATCCCTAAATTAAGACCTGACTCTTGTTTAGTTCCAGGATCACTTGCACTATTATTTGACTTCAAAAATTCAAATACAAAGAGCAGGTTCAACAATAACCTAGCTAAGTTAATCGCAAAGCGTTTTCAGGTTAAAGTAGCAGGTGAAACAGCTTATGACTGTTCAGGAGAGAGTTTGTACGAAATATACAAAGATCTATGGCTAACTGTTGGCGACAGAAATAAGATGACTGAACAGGGTCTTGCAAGTGAGAATCTTAGGAAGTTAATCTCAGGTGACGATTCAGGAGTAAGAGTTGGTGATGCCAATAAATTAGCAGATGCACTTCTCCACAGTGTGTACGGTTCCAAGCTGAGAAAACCTATTGATAAAATAATTGCAGACCATGGACTCTACGTACCATTCCACATGAACAACAATCCTATGTACATACTCACACTCCCCGAATCAGGTGAGATTATGACGGCTCAAGGAGGTGAAGCTAAGGGTAATTATAAACTTGATAATCTTGAGCTAGAATACGAGACCATTCAGAATGACGCCCTTGCAAGTGAAGTGTCAAGGATTTATTCAACAGGTCGATCACTGTCCTACAAACATGTCACACTAATGCGTACAAGTAATTGGGACAAAGATCTTACTATTGTGAATGAAAACATAAATATCCCCAGAAAGAGCATGTCAGCAATTGTCCTTCTATTTACCAATAGAGTGAGAACTGATTCTGAAGAATATATTTACCCAAACATTGATAAAGTGAACCTAACTATTGAAGGTGTGCCTAATGCAGTCTTCTCCCAAGGACTTCATAAAAATAGGTTCTTCGAAGAGGCAAAACGATTCTTTTGTCCTATGTGTGAGAAATCCATGGCCGACGAATTTATGTCCATCAGCAAGTTCTTCGGCAACGGTTTCGCCTTAGTAGTAGATCTAAGGTCAACACAGGATGACACCACTGGAGGAGGTAGAAAGATTGTTAACACGCAGTCTGGAGTACTTATGGAAATTAATAAGAGAGCCACAACAGCAGACGTTCAGTGCAACATTTTTATTGTATCAGATGCTCTACTTAACTTTGCTAATAGGGATCTATCAAGTATTCAATACTAGGATACCCTTCGTATCCGCTACTAACGTAGTCGGTACTAGCCACACAACGTAGCTTGTACTAACGGTAAAGCATAGAGATGAATCTAGAGCCACCATTCAATATGCTCATAGTAGGAATGACAGGAAGTGGTAAGACTCAGTTCTTACTTAATATGCTAGAAACAGAGTACAATAGAGTATTCGATTACATTGTCATTATATGTCCAACCATAGAGCGGAATATGACTTACATTAACTGGTCTCATATTAGCGACCGCGGGGTTATACAAATTCCATGTTCCCAGGAAATGACCAACCTAGTTCTAAAAGCAGTGTCCACCATATTTCGCGGTACTCAGACTCTCATCATCGTGGACGATTGTGCGGCAGGTCGGGATGTAAAGAAAAGAGTCTCAGAACTGGTGCGCCTAGCATTCTCCGCAAGACATTATAATATATCTGTTATTGTGATTACCCAACAATTGTCCTCAGTAGCAAAACCATTCAGGGAGAACATTTCCAGGTTAGTCACATTCTACAACCCTAGTCGTAGGGATATGAAGGTAATAACAAATGATTACCTGAGTGGTGTTCCTCAGGAGACAATTACAGAGATTACAAAAATACTGAAAGATGAAAAGTTCACCGCATTAGATATACTCCTCATTCACCCTTATACTTACACTATTAAACTAAACACCGCGTAGAATATAGAAGATGGGATCAGAATCTGACGAAGAAATATCCAATGCTGTGAGAGAAGTAGAGGAGGCCGCAAAGACGCCGCAAAGGAAAGCTAAGTCCACCGCAAGTAAAACGAAACCCACCGCAGATAAGTCGCAAACTGAACATAAAAGGAACAAGCTTATCGAGCTATCTAGGGACGGTGCAATTGATAAGACCGCAAGTTTTATAAGAAAGTCCAACAAGGATGTTGTGGACAAACTTTACAATGAGTATGAAAGTCAGAGGATGTCATTCGCAAGTGACTTCTTATCAACACTTATAATTTCAAAGTTTGCTTCTGTATTAGGAAGTTTTGGTGCAGTGGAATCATCAGAAAAGCTGTCAGAGGAACTACTTGGTGATAAACTTTTAAAGGATGACGTAGCATATCTAACTAGAACGATATCCCCGAATATTCCATTCATAGGTCTAATATCAGGTGGTTGTACCACAGCAAAGCACGTTGTTGCTCACAAGTGGAAAAAGAAGGAGAAGCCTGAGGAGATATCGGAGGAAGCAAAACATATCCTATTACATAGTGAAGAAGAATGTCAGACCACGAGTGGGAGAACGCCTGGGAAGGAACAGAGTTCGAAGACATAATTACTGAGCTGATTGAAAAAACCAACGTTAACAAGGAGAAGCTAGATGGGATCCGGGAAACCCTTGACTCATTAGAGAAAGACCTATATTCACTTAGAAATAAAATCGTAGGACCTCTCCAGTATGACTTCCACACATTCAAGACTGATACGATAAAAACAGTTGTAAATATATACAAGAAACTACATGGGACGTAGTATTTTTAAACCAGGGGGCTAACAAGCTGGGTGGGTAGAGGGAACTTAGTGTGGGGCTCAACCTAAGTCTCACCATTAATCAAATTTAAATGTCAGATAAATAGTCATTAAATAGACATAAATATTTTTACATATATAGTATAGAGAAAGATGGAAAAACTATTCAGGAACCAGAAGTTGAATGTTAGTGTGAGAGCTGTAGAGAGTGGTGAGGATGTACTGTTTTATGCAAAAGATGTGACGGAATCTCTAGGGTACGCTGACCCAAAAAAGGCAGTTCAGAAATTAGTTAGGAAACAAAATAAGGTGAGTGTATACGAGTTACGCAAGAGGGGCGAATCGCCCCTCTTACAGAAATGTCACCCACAGACAATCTTACTTTTTGAACCTGGTTTGTACCAGCTAATATGTAGCTCAAGACTTCCAATAGCTGAGGACTTCCAGGACTGGGTGTTCAGAGAAGTCCTCCCATCTATACGAAAAACAGGCTCGTATAATTTACCAGATAGAAGGTCACTCAGATATAACCAAATAATCCTTATAAATGAAACGGACCTTCATCACGCAGTTGTGAGTTACATTAGAGACAACTACCCAGAGGCTGTAATAATACCTAGTCTAGGTGAGTATCAGGACACTATGTCAAGGAGATGTGATGCCTGGAAAAAGGGATACAAAGGTGGTCAGCCGGATCTTATTATAGAGAATCCCATGGGGAGGTATAAAGGATTTGCCATTGAATTTAAGTCTCCTAAGGGCACTGGGACTGCAAGTGAGAAGCAAGTATTATGGCTTCGTAAGCTTATGGAAATAGGGTATATGGTAATGATATCCGACGACTTGATAAAAACTTGTATTAGAATTAACGAGTACTTCTCACTTAAGAAAACCGTAAGAAAAGTTGCAGTGAAAATTACCGCTAGCGGTGCGAAGACGTACAGACCAAAGTTCAAATCAGATAAGTACTAAGTTATCTCACCAGCAGATTTAAGTTATCTCACCAGTTATCTCACCAGTAGATTTAAGTTATCTCACCAGTAGATTTGAGACATCTTACAAGTAAATTTAAGTTATCTCACAAGTAGACTCTAGATGTCTCACAAGATAAAACCCAGTTAAACCTAAGGTATCTTACAAGTAGAATGGAAGATAAACCTGAGCAAACTCAAGTAGTAACAAGTGAAAAGAAGAAAGACCCATAAAGAGTAGCTGCAGGAAAACGATTAGCCGCAATCAGTAAAATAGCAAAGGAGAGAAAAAAGAAACTTGCAGAACCTGAGGAGTCATCCAGCAATAACATGATCGCATATGTAGGAGTGGTCATCGCATTGGTATCCCTTGCTCTAGCATTTAATCAGCATCAGACGGAAACAGAGAAACCAGAACCTAAGTACATCCCTGAAACTGTAGAAGTAACCAGGAAAGCTGATGCGTCTAAGTTAGATTCACTTGAATGATACGTTAAACATAATATATATTATAGCAAGATGAGTAAAGAATCAAAGATGACCGCGGAAGTGTACAACGCAGTGTTACTTACAGCAGGAGCAGTTGGTATATCAATGGCATCGAAAAAACTATTGAAAGAACCATTAGGCACCCCAGAAAATGTAAAAGGAATGGCAAAGTTAGCTGTCTCAGTTAGCCTCTCATCTCTACTAGTCTCTTACCTGAAAGAAAAGAAGTATATACCAGATGATCCATTCAAACCTAAGTAAGACTATACAATGGCGGGAGCAGTAGCAGGAGGACTCTTTAATGCATTTGCATTTGCTGGAGCGGGATATCTATTTAAAATGTTTGACAAGAATGGATACGCTGAGGAAGCCCACAGACACAACATTGCAATGGAGAACCTAACAGCTGAAAGAGAGAAGTACCTTGAAGAAGTCACCGATAGAAGAAACAGACTTGCGCAACTTAAGGCCGAACTAGCTGAGGCGAATAGGGATATTAACGCAATAAATAAGGCATTGGAACTCATCAGGAGAATCAACGAGCTAACACGTACAGCTATGCCAAGAAAGCCGCAACTAAGTAACCACTACAAACCTAGCTCAGAGATGGAAGAATATATGGCAATATTTGGTTTAATTATGGGTGGGGTGGTTGGAGGGGCAGCTTATTTATTACTATAAAATATTAATTTAATACGGCAATAGATTTTTACACATATATTGTAGAGAAATGGACTGGCTTGCAATGGTAGACGTTGACGAGGTAATAGCCCTCGGTAAAAGGGTAGACACTATAGAGGAGTTGGAGGCCGCGGTTAAAAAATATGTGGAACTGAGAATAATAAGGAGACGTAAAAACAGACAACAAAAACAAGCAGAATATTTTAACACATATAGTATAGGGAATGGACTGGCTGACACTGGTAACACCTGATGAAATGGAAAGAGTCGGTAGGAGAGCAAAAAACATTGAGGAGCTGGAGGCCGCAGTAATGAAATACGTGAGAGGTAAAATGAAGGTTGTACATACATACGAACCGGAATGTGTTGAATGTGGTAGTAAGTCTATTGTAATAATAGATGGAGCAGATGTATGCACACAATGTGGTACAAGTGACAGGAATGGCTTTACATACTATGTTAGTTACAACCACAACAAGGACGACTACCTGAAAAAGAAGTCTTGTCATAACAGAGTCCGTTGGTTTGAGAGACACTTATTAGAGCATGTTGCTTCAGGGGATAGGGATACCATACGGGAGCAGTTCAGAAGCATCGTAAGATGTATACAAAGACTTAGACTGCAACGGGGGCGCAACATAGTTAGATATAAGTTTTACCTACTGAAGATAGCCAGCATTAACAACATCACGTTAAGAAACCCTCCTGAGGACATTAAGACCAAAAGAATTGTGGACATCCTTGAGAATAGGTTATATAGTAAAGTCTTCCCCGAGTTGGGATGGAAACCTATAAATTGTAAATATTATAATAACTGGAAATTAAAGAATAAATTATAAATTAAATAAAATATAAAATTATAAAATTAAACAAAATATAAAATTATTAAATTACATAAAATATTAAATTATTAAATTAAATTAAATATTAAATTATTAAATTAAATAAAATATTAAATTATTAAATTAAATGTTAAATAAATTAATGAATTAAATAGCCCCTTAATTGGGGCTATTTTTTTTACCTATAGTATATAGAGAAAGAGTGAAAAATGGCGAACAACTTTGACATGAACGACATGACCGTTGAACAACTTATGGCACTTAGTGAGATAATCGATGACAGCGACTATGAAGGAAATCTTGAGGATGAAGTGGAGAAAATCTCGGAGGATAAATTCTACCGTGTTGCACCTAAGGACAAGGGAGAGAACGTCCTCGCGGAAGAGAAACTATTCATTGATGAAGGTGATAGAGCTGCGGATCCTAAGAGGCCAAGAAGACTCCCACTGAACTACAAGGGTAAGAGAGGAATAATGCCAACATGGAAATATTCCGAGAGGCAGAAGGCAAAGGCTTTACTAGTCGAGGAGGCATATCAGAGCTTACTAAGTAGAGGAGTTGAAGGTCTACCACCAACAATGGGAGGTAGATGGAGAACGGACGATCCTCAAGTAAACGCGGAGATGAAGAGGCTCGAAAACCTTAGGAATCCCAAGCGTCCTAGAGGTAGACCACCAAAGGTCAAGGTTGATGGTGAAGTAACCCCCAAAAGAAGGGGTAGACCACCAAAGACCAAAGAAGTTAAGGTTGCCAAAAGGAGAGGTAGACCACCAAAGGCTAAGGTGGTTGAAACTCAAGAAGTTACGGTTCCTAAGAGGAGAGGTAGGCCACCAAAGGCTAGGGTAGTAGAAACACCGAAACCTAAGGTTAGAAGACAGACTGTCGCAGAAAGGTTCATAAGCCAGGGTCGAATAAAACTCTCAGTTCCTGCGGATAGTGTCATAACACAGGTGGGACCAAATAAGTTCACGGTGACAGTGGATCTCAGCAGAAAACCTACAAGGAAAGCTCCTGAGGTGCCAAAAGGTGTGACTCCATGGAGACCTGTTCCTAAGCCTAGAACCGTTCTTCCTAAGGAAAAACCTGTTCCTAAGCCTAGAACTGTTCTTCCTAAGGAAAGACCTGTTCCTAAGCCAAGGACTAAAAAACCAGTGCCTCCTCCAAAGTTACGAAAGCCTGCAAGGGTGACTAGGGAAGTTGTGGAGCAGCCTGTGGTGGTTACACCTGAGGAACATGAAATCGATCCATTTGGAACATACCTCGATAAGCCATCCTACAGGAAAATAGAAACTGCCGCAAATGGAGCAGCTGTGACCTACTCAATAACTCCAAACTATACGGACCCACTGGACCAGATGACAGCAAGTAGGCAGGTGGTGAGGGGAATACTAGTGAACGAGTTGAAGAGAATGGGAGGTCTAAAATATACAGAAACAATCAAGGTGAGAATGTCGAAGGAAATCGGTAATGATAAAACAAAGAAGGATTCAATATACTTCAAGTCGAAAACTGGAACTGCGACCAACTTTGAGGATATCGAAAGCACTGCGGCACAAAACCAGCTGACAATCCTATCCAGAATTGAAACATTCCAAAACCTAGGTTCAAACTGGATTATACTAAATATTGAAAGCCACTACGTTAACATTGCAATGTATAAACCTCTAAAGGGTAGTTCATATATGAAATTACCCGCAGACATTAGTAATCCAAAATGTGGTCTCATTAATATGAAAAATGAAGATAACAAATGTTTCATGTGGAGTCATGTGAGACACGTGAGACCAAAGGTCAGGAGAGCAACTACTATAACACGACAGGATGTTAAGTTCTCGGAAAACCTAGACTATGAGGGAATAGACTTCCCTGTGAAAATAAGTGATATTGACAAAATCGAGAGAAGAAACTGTATAAGCATATCAGTGTTCGGCTATAAGGGCAAAAAGCAGTTCTACCCAATAAGAAACTCCAAGACAAAATACGACGAGCATATGGAGCTGCTACTCTTAGGTGACGGTGATGGTAACAACCACTACGTTCTAATAAAGGATGTAAACAGAATGCTCTTCAGTGTAAGTGGAAACTCGAACAAGAAACACTTCTGTCTGCATTGCCTTCATAGTTGCGTAAGTAAGGAGTCACTGGAGAAACATAAGGAGACATGTCTCGAGGTAAATGGAACTCAAGCCACAAAGCTTCCGAGTAAGGGTACAAAAATAAAGTTCAAAAATCACAGGAACTCAATGCCTGCACCATTTGTGATATACGCCGACTTCGAGTCCATACTGGTTCCCGAAGAGAGAAAAGTTGATCCTGAAAGCTCTGAGGAAAAGAGTACTACAGACCTTTACCAAACACATAAAGCCTGTAGTTTTGGGTTGAAAACAGTGTGTCATTATGATGATCAGTACTCTGGTGAATACATAAGTTACGTTGGTGAGGACGCCACGAATGTCTTTCTGAAGACAGTATTGAAGGAGTCTATTAAGTGCCGGGAGATGGTAAACAAAATATTCAAGAAAAAGATGGTAATTACACCAGAGCAAGAAGCTGAGTTCTGGATGACAAGAAACTGCTCCATATGTGGTAATGACTTAGGTGATGATAGAGTGAGAGATCACGATCATGTAACTGGAATGTATCGTGGAGCTGCCCATAATATGTGTAATCTGAAGTATAGAATCACATGGAAAGTTCCGGTGGTTTTCCACAACCTAAGAGGTTACGATAGCCATCTGATAATGCAGGAGATTGGAAAGTTCAAGATGAACATCAACGTTGTCCCAAATAATATGGAAAAATATATTTCCTTCTCACTAGGTAAAAGTCTTGTGTTCATTGACTCAATACAGTTCATGGCTTCTTCTTTGGAAGCACTTGTGAGTAACCTTTCACCTGAAGACTTCAGGATAGTTGGTAAGAGGTGGACTGGTGAGGACTTCAAACTTGTGACACAAAAAGGTATATTTCCATATGAATATTTGGATGATATTAGTAAACTTAATGTTGAGGGTCTTCCAAGCAGAGACAAATTCTACTCATCTCTATATGAGTCGGAGGTGAAAGAAGAAGATTACCAAAGAGCGCTAAAAGTATGGGATCACTTTAAGATGAAAACCATGAGAGACTACCACGATCTCTACCTAGAAACTGACGTTCTTCTTCTAGCAGATATCTTCGAAAACTTCAGGAGAACTTGCTTGGAAAATTACAAGCTTGACCCTGCACACTACATATCAGCACCTAGTCTAAGTTGGGACGCCTTCCTGAAACAGTCAGGTGAGGAGATAGAATTGGTAAGTGATATGGACATGTTCCAGTTCTTTGAGAAGGGAATGAGAGGTGGTATAAGTCACATTGCCCACAGACACTCTACAGCAAATAATAAGTACATGGAAACGTACGACGAAGATCTTGAAAACAAGTTTCTTATGTACCTCGATGCCAACAATTTATATGGTTGGGCGATGTCGCAGCCGCTGCCTAATGGTGAGTTTGAGTGGATTGAGAATTTCGATGCGGCAAACTTAGATGATTACCTTGGAGACAACGGAAGGGGTATGGTTTTAGAGGTTGACATGGAATACCCAAAGGAACTTCATAATCTACACAACGGTTATCCGCTAGCACCGGAGAGCAAGGAGATTGGTGCCTCAATGTTGTCAGACTACGCGAAGGATATTGCTGATAAATTCCAGCTGACAATTGGAGGAGTAAGAAAACTGGTGAACTCCCTAGGTCCCAGGAAAAACTACGTCTTACACGCCCGCAATCTGAAACTCTACATGGAACTCGGAATGAAACTTACGAAGGTCCATAGAGCCGTCTCATTCAAACAGTCCCCTTGGCTTAAGAACTATATCGACTTCAATACGAAGAAACGGTCAGTTGCACGTAATACTTTTGAAAAGAACTTCTTCAAATTAATGAACAACTCAATCTATGGAAAGACCATGGAGAATCTAAGAAAGAGAGTTGACGTGAAATTAGTGTCATCAGAAAATGACCTCCTAAAACTTACAGCGTCGCCGTGCTTCCAGTCGCATAGAATTATGAATGAGAACTTAATAGTTGTAAAGCGAACGAAGGAAGTTCTAACTCTAAACAAACCGTGCTACGTTGGAATGAGCATCTTAGACTTATCAAAGACTCTTATGTACGACTTCCATTACAATACAATTAAGAAGGAGTACGGTGACAGGTCAAAGCTACTGTTCACAGATACTGACAGTCTGATGTATGAAATAAAGACTGATGATGTGTATGAGGACTTCAGGAGGATCGGTGAGGAGAAAGACTGCTGGGACAACTCAGACTATCCAAAAGATTCCCCATACTACTCAGCTCATAATAAGAAGGTGATTGGTAAGTTTAAGGATGAAGCTGCGGGAGTACCAGTGATTGAATTCGTTGGGTTGAGGTCGAAGATGTACTCCTACGTGAAGGAAAGTGGTGGAGGTGGAATGACCGCGAAAGGAGTGAAAAAGTATGTGATTAGAAACAAACTCACTCATGAAAACTTCAAGAACATAATTAAGACAAAAGGTTTGATGAGACATAAGATGAACACAATCAGAAGCATCAAACATAAAATCGGAACTTACGAACTGAAGAAAATCACACTCAGCTGTTTCGATGATAAACGGTACTTACTTGAAGATGGTGTTACAAGTTACGCGTACGGACACCACTCAATAGAAAAGTAAATTGTTAAATAATTCTGATAAATAATAGATAAAAAAAATGAGGTAAAAGACCACGGAAAAAATGGCCTAGAAAAAAAATGGTCTAGAAAAATGAGCCCGCGTTCTTTGGGGAAAATTCGGGAAACCGCTGACCGGAAGTGGGGTGGGATCGCGGGCCGAAAAAGTGGTCTAGAACCCTCAGTTCCTATACTACTAATAATCGATGCCCCTTCTTCGACATTTAGCGATTTAAATGTTCAATTGAAGCTGTCCGCTCTTTCGTCTGTTCATATTATAGTTTTCTGCGTGCGAAAAGTTTTCAACAACTTTACAACGGAAGAAAAATCGTTGAATCGTGAGAAAAATCTGTGTTAGTGTTACAGATTTTTCTCCCGATTTTGTGAATCGCAAGGTGCTGACGCGAGTACTCACGACCAATGCTCACCACAGGTTATTTACATACAGCGAGCAAAATCGGCCCGACAAATCGCAGCGTGTAAACGTATCTTTACAGTTATGTCTTACCATAGTAAGTTAGTTTTTTTAATGAATTTCGATGTTTATGTACGAGTTTTTTCGTCATTAAGTTTTTGTATACAGTTTTAAATTTGTATTTTGTTGCCAACCTTGGGGATATATATTACACGGCAAAAAACGCCGAGCCCGTTGCTCAACAGGCTGCCCACGTTGTTCACAGTCTTCACACTTGTCAACAATATTGAACAATGTTGTTGAGCCTGAACAATGTGGGCAGCAAAACATTGTTCAATCCCTGCCTCGTCCCCAGGCGCTAATAAAAAAATTTCATGCGAGTCACTATATGAAAGGTTTACATGAAGTAGTGCGTCACATTCTAGCCGCGCAAAGGGGAGTGGGATATGAGCGTTCTGTGCCTCAAGCCCATAACCCCCTGCGCTTGTTCATCGCGATGCACTACTTCATGTAAATCTTTCATATAGTGACTCGCATGAAATTTTAATTAGCGCCTGGGGACGAGGCAGGTTCAATCCTGTTTTCATCAGTATTGCATCAACCTGCACGTTTTTACGCGTGTAAATAATGACGCAAGTCACGCAACGCTATTGTGATGTCACACGTACTTCATGTAATACAAATTATAGAGGTTTTACTGTACATTGAAACACTGCATGTCAAAGCATTGCATTTTAAAGCAAATCGTATGGATTTTTTTGAAAAATAAAAGACCTTTTCGGGAGACCTATGGTGTGCGGCAGGCTCAAACAACAACATTTGCCAAAAATACAATGTATTTCAAAAATAGTTTATGTGAAAATGTACAATTATAAATCTGGCTACAAAGATCCATGTAGAGTTTGTGCGATAAATATTGTTTTAAAAAGTATTCTTTATCATAAATATTAAATATACACATACATGTTACATAGCTTTGTCAATACAACTTGGACATACTTATATACTGAAAATATAAATATACTGATGCATGTATAATAGATAATTGCATGACTCTATGAACTGTAGCATACAATCCTATACTGTCTTGGAAAACTATTTCCTCCAACTTTATTTGTACAAAAATAGTATATTTTGAAATCACACGCAAATAACACCTTCTTTTCCTTTAAAAATACAAACTGAAAAAAGCCCCTGAAAAATCCGACAAGATCTATTTATGATTTCTTAATAGATATACACATGCACGTAAAAACTCGCAAGTTAAGGCCCTGTCGCACTACTGCGTATGAGAGAAACGTATGAAAAGTGTATGAAAATTAATGAAATAATTTTCATACGCACAAAAGTCCTTTGATATGCTTGCGTAGGAGTACCGTACATCTGCATGGCGTACTTCTAGCGTATGCCTAGAGTATGCTTATCTTATAAACCATACGTCCGAATACGCACAAAATTTTTAAGCATGCTTAAAAAAAGTTTCTGCCTCGCCGTGCCAGCGTATGTCACCGTACGCGACCGTGCTTGAAACGTATACAACCTATATGCCTAACGTACCCCAAGCGATTGTCAGCGTTTTCCAGCGTATGAGTGATATTTTTCATACGCGCTGGCATGCGCTAGTACGATACACAATAGTGTGACAGGGCCTTTATTACAGATCTGCAAACAAGTTGTAACAAGGTTGTTGTCAAACTGTGATCAGAATGTGTTCGCACTGCTTGTTCCCAGTTGTTATGACAAGTCTGAAAACAAGTTGGTATCACCTTGTTACAAGGTTGATGATGGTAACAGCCTTGCTATACAGGTTGTTCCAAATAAGTTGTCATCAACTTGTTAACAACTCGTTACGTGCAGACGATATCAGACTTGTTGGAACAATTTGTTGCGAGTCTGTTGGCCTCATGTTACAAGATCATAATAATTTCTTCCAAACTTGTCAACAACTGCATGGGAACAAGCAGTGCGAATACATCTTGCGGACAAACTATGACATTTGTGTAGTTTACCTAAAAACGTTTCCATAGAGTCGGTTGTTTATCAATTTGAATTAATTAGCATTCTAATTTCATCCAACATGGCGAAAATCCGTTATGTGGCTTTAGGACTGGTTGCACATGTAGTAAAGACGGCATACAGAATTACAGGAGCTTGCATAAGAAAACTTTTAACCTAACTCAGTTTTCAGTCTACAGTACCTTATCGTCAGAAACTAAGAACTCAACAAACCAAAGAACGAACAACTAACGAAAAGAAAACGATCTAACGCAACATTCCCAGAAGGAGCCTGGGGAGAACCGTGTCTCTAATCATCTGCATATTTACTGTATCATGCCCGTTCTGCCGAGAAAAGCCGAGAACGAGATTGATACCGTTAAGACGACATCAATAATCTACAATCACGGAACAATCACTTTGGGACAAGTTGAAAACATTTATTACTTTCTCTCTCACATACAATGTTGGTTCAACAGTATACGATATTCACGAATATTTCACAACATTTTCCGATGAGAAATACCCGGCCCAGGGAAGCAACATTGTAAGAAGTGAGGAGGGGAGGGGAGGGGGGTGGTAACGTTTAGGTATGACTGTGCAACCTGCGATAATAGTTTTATATTGATAGATATTACGATGCTGTTTGGATGACACTTGTGATTGTCCCGATTAATTATTCCATGATTGTAGGTACTACGTTCTCATGTGTTTGCTGCTGCCGTTACTGATTATTGTGTTATTATTTACACCATATTCAGGATCATACTTTCTGCGAGAACGAACAGGAATCCAGCACCAAAGATCCTAAAACATAAAAACAAAGGTCAAACATTTGTAAGTTGTCATTCACGGTTGCAGCAGACGTGTTGCAAGGTTGATTCGCCAAAACCTGATTGTGTTCACATCAAAGTTCACACCGCTCGTTCCCAGCTTGATCGAAAGATGTTACAGCTTTGCAACAGAGTCGCTACAAGTTTGACTATTCATACCGTACTGTAGTTTCTAAGTTTTCAAGTTCAAGTATGAAAATACGGCGCATTTTTTTGCAAATTTGGCAGTTTCTAGGGATCTGCTATTTCTGCTAGCATGAGGATAATCTGAGCAAAGAGTAATATACTTAAGTTCTTTGTATGTTTGCATGGTGATAAAATATAATAGGTTTTGTTTGTGGAAACACCACGTAAATTTATTACTGCAAAGCTTTCGATCCGTAAGCCCGGATCTTCATCAGTGCTAATAATATGTTATACATATTATTAGCACTGATGAAGATCCGGGCTTACGGATCGAAAGCTTTGCAGTAATAAATTTACGTGGTGTTTCCACAAACAAAACCTATTTAGTAATATACTTACTCGAAACATACGAGATGAAATATTTTTCTTCCCAAGAGGTCGTATGTCGGTTCCTCCATTTTGATGTGACCCATTCTATAATAACAACAGAATTACAAAATACAAGACACATGACAGAGAGCAAAATTATATACAGAAATGGACATATTCCAGAGATGTTCAGAAATACGCGGTGAACACAGTTTTGTTATCACGAATGCGTTAGTCGTTGTGTGAGGCACTGAATGTTGCCGAGTTTAGACTGCAGGCCTGAGCCTAATTTTTTTCGTCTAATTTGATTTAGTAATACGTTGATTGGCCGATTAAGTCAGCCAATGAGTGAAGCAAAAACCTAACTAGGACCAGGCCTTGAGTCATAGAAATAATATTTCTGTCTTGACTCCAGGCCTTGACTTGAAGTCTGCGTAAAGAAAGCTTTGAATAAAGGTTTATTATGCTATAGCTTGCATGATTAGCCTTCATTGTCGCTCACGTGACTCTGATCAGACAGTACCTGTTCGGATTTCCGCTTATTTTTCATACACTTCACCCTTAAGTCAATCCTAAAATTCAAGAACACATTTATTTTCATTGACTGGGCACATTAAGCAATGCTAGAGAATGAAAATATACCAAACTCGTAAACACAACATAATAATTGACCATTTGCAGAATTACCTGAGCGTACCATCATTATACATGCACCTATTGCGTAACATCGACTTCTGATCATTTTGTTTTGAAATTTGGACAGGGACATTGTTTTGAAAAAGGGACATCAGCTTAGCATGATAAAATTCAAAGAAATTGAAGAATGAAGTGGAGGATTTGTGCGTATAATGCTCTTAATCTTTGTCTTTCCCTTCATTGTCTAACCTTGAGCTATAACTCTAATCGTGACATTTTGACCCATCGTCTCTTTGTTAATTGTCAAATCTTTCTCCACGGTTCTCTTTCACGTTTTTGCACAAGTACGTCAATCATTTACAACTTTTGGCAACTTTTTATTGTCCAATATCAAAAAATGACCATACTCGTAGCAAGAAATAATATTGGTACATTTTAGTAATTTTGCAAATGTTTATAATCGCAGATAACTAGTATGGCAGGTATTGTTTGATGCGCAGTACATGTAGCTACAAAAAACCTCTGGCTAAACGTACGTGTATAAGATTTGAAAATAACCACCAAAAGCGGCAAAACAATGCCACCAACCATGAAGCTGACCCAGTGCATTAAAAGGCCAAGGTATTAAGCCACGGAAATATCTGGAAACGAAATGATATATGAAGAAAGCAGCACTAACTTGCACTCTGGAGCATGTTTTTGGATCAAATCCAGGTTATATTAAAATAGTGAATGTACGGTAATGAAAGTCCTTTCGGACGAAAATCGCTGCTCACATTGATAGTTAAAGCAAATATATGCATCTGTAAATAGATTATTACCTCATTACTATATCGTATATCTTAATACTTAATATGATATTTTTATACAGCTATATATAGTCTTACATTTTGTAAATAGCTTTTAAATAATTTTCATATTTGCTGTATACTTCTTCTTCACACGTCCCTCGTGGAAATCAACAGAAATAAGTTGACGAGGGTAGCCTGTCTATATGAGGAAATTCACTTTCTTCAGTGGTAGGGCAAAGCATGCTGAATTTTGCACAAATACAGTGAATACAAATACTGGACCATATAGAAATACTGGTCTATCACTACAAAAATGTAAAGAATTTCATTCTAACCTCACGTGAGTACAAAAAGCGTTATCAATATTCCATAATATAAAACCAATTCCATAACTATACGAAAGATAAATACGAAAGATGTGAAATAATTGAAACGAAATTATACACTAATAACACTATGAGGCGTAAACATTAAAACGGTTGTTTTCATAATATCTTACCAAACAAACGCTGAGAAAGACAATCCTTGTGAAACGTTATGTTTCCTGGAAGAAAAATGAACTTCTTTCTTTTCATTCTTATTATTACTTTTTACAAATATGAGAAAGTATGAAGTATGCATCAAAACCAAGTTTGGTGTACAGTATAGATCAAGAAATGAAATATATATAAAGCGATGATACCTGGCCGAGTGAACAGTTGATATAATAAGTACTGCAACACTCAATCCATACACCCACTAAAACAGCAATCAATCAATAAGTGATCAGTATTAATCAACTAATGATGATCAATATATATATATATATATATATATATATATATATATATATATATATATATATATATATATATATATATATATATATATATATATATATATATATATATATATATATATGATGAACTTCGCAGTCATCTGAATATCGTAAAATACAATGGACACCGTAATAATCAATGGAAAATACCTGGAATATCAAAGGATTGACGAAAACAACATAAACCTAAACAGGTATTATTAAGTATCTGCAGTTAGAACAATACATCAAATCCATTTCCAGCCGGCAAAGTATTAATTAAATTATAAAATTAAATAAAAAAGGAATCGTTCTGGGAAATCCATGCAAGATCTGACTTGACAAAATTTTGTAAGGCGATTAAGGATTTGAAGAAGGCTTTGCATGAAATAAAGTCGAAATAAATCACCTGATAAAACGTTGTCTTGATTTCAATACACATCTTGGATTTTTTTTAAGAAATGCATCTTAAAAGATGCATATTTCGGAGTTTGTTCTATTTTTTGATACGATTCATAAAATACACCGCTATATAGCACCACTGAGTAGTACAGTTCTGACGCAACTTTAATCTAAATAATATTAACCTAAAGCAACTAAATTCTCATTAAGAAACTTTTTGTGTACGGTGATTCATTTTATTTTCGATCTTTTTTAAATGCAATCACCCTCAGTTTCAAAAGAGAAAAAGTAATTTTTGAACTCAGTACAGTATATTAAAACGCATTATTCAATATTCCATATTGCGCTTTCAGCCCCGAAATGGTTATACTTGTATTTTGACCAGTTGAGCAAGGATATCTTGAGTACCTATTAAAACAATTTGTATTTGCACCCAGTATGTCTCCCAGAGATCAGGAAACTTACCACAGTCACAAGAATATTACAGACGGTGAGAAATAGTTTTAAACCGACGTTCTTTTTACGTGGTTCATTGTCACAAGCCAGCCTAGATATTAAAAAATTATTCATCGATATCACGAAACGTTGAATTGTAATTATAGAACTCGTTTTAGTATATTATTATTCATTGTAATAAAACTGACCGTCAAGGTCTTTATAGCAATGTAGGGTATTTAATGAATATTGAGTAATAAATTAAATATTTCATTTATGACCAGGGGAAGCCTTACATATCGATTTTGTCCACGAGAAACGTATGGACGTTTCTCTGGATACCCCTCCCCCTTAGAAACGTCGCACATAGTTATCGATATTTTGTTCATCTTGATCTTATATCTCATCTAGTACAGATCAGGTAATTTTCTACTATTACGAATTATGGAATCACGGTATGGTATTACGAATGTATATTGACTGGTGTTTGTATCAAGTTGTTTTATTTTTTATATTCTGCAAATGTGATTCCGAAATGTTTATAAGGCTTTCGAAAAAACTATCGAATTTTCCCATGGGGTTTTACAGAAAAACGTCACAGCTGTAACCCCCCCCCCCCCAACGTCCATATGCAGGTCCGTAACTAGCTATGAGTAGTTGACTTGACTCGGTAGGAATTTGGGGACTGAAATCTTGCTCTTCAGTGACAATACAGTACTGTAGAATTTGAAGTGTGGTGAATGATAATACTATACCACACACATTTTCATTTCAGTAATTGTGTCACTGTTTAGAAGATTAATTTCGTGTTGGAACACTCCTCAAAATGCTGGAAATTGCTGGAAATAGCTTATCTGAGCTTCAAGAAATCCAACATTTTCTGGAGGGGCATGCCGCTAGGCCTAGACCCGTCTACACGGCTCGCACCTTTGGTGCTCAACTCGGTTGTCTCAGAATCCTGGTTACGGGCTTGCATATGACGTTTGTCGTGGACAAAATCGATATGCGAGGCTTCCCCAGAGACCAGAGTTGAATACTTACACGCAATAAAGCATGATATATGTACAGTAAATCATTGGAAGTTCATCCAGCAACTGCAAGAAAATATTCGAGTTTATCTTAACGAGTGCCACAGTTAATACGAGCTGATCAGCCCTTCTCGGTTTATCCGCCCTTTGCCTTTGGGGAATTGCCTGTCCCTAGTCTTTGGGGAATTGCCTGTCCCTTGTCTGTCAGTGCACTGTAGACACTGTAGACATTGCTTAGATTGTCTATTGTCTCCGACGTGAAAAGACAGTATTCCAAAGATAGCGGATTATTATATTGACCCGCGGCGGTATAAGCTGGTTGCAGTCAACACAGTTACTATACCTGCATTTTATACTGTAATGTGGCATGAAAAAGGGTCGAACCAACACCTATACCTGCAAGGGACAACAACACATGATGATTCACTATGATCATTAATGTACCAAACTGTATTAATTGAAATTCCAAGATATATAGCTCTCGATGACCACGCCCATTTTAATTATAATCACTCACACAACTAGAGGGTCTTCTCTATTATTATGTGTTTAAAAACCTGGCTATATGTTTTCAGTGTAGATCTTCTTACCCATAAAGGAGAGGAAGGATAAAAGAAATCTTGTATCAAGACCCAGTTGATGACATCTCAGGGCAGCGAGCAATGGAGGAACTACCATAAAGTAGTTGGTAATTGTGTTCCCTAATAAATAATGATTATATATCCAATTGAGGAGTTAACATATATAGTTTTTGTATATTAATAAAACATATTCATTATTAGACAATATGTGACAGACAGTCAATTATCCTTTCCCACGATGAGGAATATACGCCATTTTTGGGTGGCATCCAATTCTCGTTAACCAATGCAGACAATTAAAACAATGTGAAAAGCAATTTTTCAAAATAAACTAACCATTTACAAAGCAAATTTACCATCATTCGTCAAAAAAATTATAAAAAGTCGCCGTTATGTGGACTTATCTCGCAGACGTCGGCTCAAATGCTACCCAAAAATGGTGGCGTGAGAAAAGCTAATTAACTGACATAATTATTAACATAAAACGCAAAATACTTGATCAGCCATGCTTACACTATTAAAATCACACATCCATTTAAGAAAAACGTTTAGCCGGTTTAAGCTGCTTATGTATTGCTGGATGAAAATATTCTGATACTCAGAAATATTCAATTTCACAATTATATTTGGTTTTGTGAATTTGAAATATACCAGTAAGAAAATATACCTATAGTATATAAAGAGCAGCATATTGAGGACAATTTTTAACAATTATGAGCAACATATACGTCCTGACTTGTGCTTTTTGTCACAAACGCATAATTGTATCAAAACATGAAATTTGTTAAGGAACCTGATGAAAAACACTGCAGGTGATTCAGGCATCCCTTATTATAAACTGATTACTTTTATTATTGCTTGTGTGATGTACTGATGTTACTCTGAGTGTATATCCACACAGGGCAGGCTTGAAAAATATGCCTGGCCACGGTGGGATTGTGGGAATCGAACCTACGACCTTTGGAATACTAGCCCAATGCTCTGCCAACTGAGCCACGCGGTCAGGTCGGTTCGAGTATGCGATATTTCGGAACTGAGTCTAGTTCCTTCGATATCAGTGTAATCTAATAATCATGATATTTGCTGTCAGTGTTGGTGTAATGTACTCAGGTGAATAAGATGCTTGTGTGATGTTACTCTGAGTGTAAATCCACACCGGGCAGGCTTGAAAAATATGCCTGGCCACGGTGGGATTCGAACCTACGACCTTTGGAATACTAGCCCAATGCTCTGCCAACTGAACTACGCAGTCAGGTCGGTTCGAGTATGCGATATTTCAGAACGGAGTCTAGTTCCTTCGATATCAGTGTAATCTAATAATCATGATGATATTTGCTGTCAAATAAGATTTATTATGTTATTTACGTAAAAAAAAGATAATAATCAGGCCTAGCCCAGGATTACCAGAATGCTCGATAACACTGGCTAATTGATATACCAATATACCGGATACTTTACACATACCATACACATGCATGCATATTTCAACTATTTTAACAAAAAAATATTGTATACCAAAAGTAAAATGGTCATATACCAATATATCTGAAACCTGATGCAGTGGTCAGACCAGAATAATTTTATACACAAGTATATGTACTGAGGGTCATAACTACTGGGGGGTGGGGGTGCAACCCCTCCCCCCCCCCAATGTTGTAATATTGCAGTTTTCTTGGACAATACAATTTTAACAATTTCAACGACATGCTAGTCTGGAAAAAATATGTAATTCAGCAAAAAATTTAACATAATTTATTGAAAAGTATTAGTTGTAGGAAATATTTGGATAAATTTACAAAAATATAACTGAAAAATTATACAAATTATGGTACATTAGTTCAAAAGTTAGTGAAAAATGGTATGTTCGGCCACACCCTCTTGGTTGGGAAAAGCAAGCTCACGCCCCCCCCCCCCCATAATACCGAAGTTATGGCCCTGAATGTACTATCAAAGAGAACCTATTGTATGCATTGAATTAAATCATACAATTTATTTTAATTATGGATATAAAAAAAGATGTTGCAATGATTGTATAAATACATTACTTTAAAATTTACAGAGTTGAATCACAAGCTCTAAACTTAAGATTTTTCAAAAAAAGTTATACGACTTTTTATATCTGTCTGTACAAAGTAAAGTTTGCTGAATTTCTAATGCTGATGCATGATGGTTATTATTTCAGCCAGTGTGTCCACTTCCGTTGTATATTGGAATTCATCCTCTTGATGATGATTGTTCTTCGATGAGAAACAATATAGTCAATATAGGGTAATTAATTTAAAATTGGATGTCAGAAACACTCAACTTGATCAACATTTAACTGATATTTAGTTAATATTTAACTAAATGCCAGTTCAATTGCATGGTACAAAATAAAAAAATATGTACAATGGAAATTACCTTTTGTTTATATAGTCTTTCATCTTTCAGTTTGCATGATGATGATTTCATACTTAACATTTTTTAAGTATAAATAGCTTTTTAATTTGAGACAATTATAATAATTCACAACAGGTGTCTTAATTTAACAGGAAAATATTTCAAAAGCCACTTGAACAAAAATTAATATGCAAATGATTTTGCAATGACTGTCACGAAATACGAGCGAGAAGGTAAACGGATACACTACGAGAATTACGTACAGCAAGAGTAATACAGTATTCCAAGATTGTAATTTATAAATTCTGTGTATTTTATAAACCTCAAGAACGGCCAAGAACAAGGTGGTTTTAATAAAAATAATTGTTTTTATCGCCAAAAACAGAAGTACAGGTATAGCGTATTCTGCGTATAAGATTACACAAGTTCAGCAAAATATTTCAAATTTATATCTTTCATAATTAGAAATTTATGTGAACGATCGTGAAAATTCGAACAATAGAAGGCTCAACATGGATAATTGAGACATTTAGGAATTAGGATCACACGTTGCGAACATTAAGCCAATTCGTTAATGATTGAAACGGTGTTATATTACATATCGGTCAAAGACTGCACATAATTTATATGCCTTTCTGAGCTTGAGCTATAATATATATACACGACTGACTGAAATTAATACTCAAAACATACAACAGTAACTTAGAGAACGATTCCAAACGACGCGTGTGCTGTAGTACTAAAATGTAAACACATTAACGAACTTATAAACGGAATGATTTACTTACAGAATTCAGCAACATATCTTGTAACAGCATAGTTTTCTTCACACCAGTCCAAAGTAGAGGTCGGTATTCCCCAAACTCCGACATTATCAACGAGTGGATCTCGATATAACGCAGGCATATTTCTAGCCTTTGCACGAAGCTGTGGGTGTCTTTAGAGCACGAAGTAAACAATGAATAATAACGAAGGCTCAACTTGCATTTGTATTATGCAATTATCATGCCACATGGCCTTTGACGCGTGACGGGCACAACTTAACTTCACCACAAAAATCCAGTAAACGTCCCTGATGCTTTGATACCGAACATTTTGGGTTGTAATCTCGTACCCAGAACTCTGTGTACGAGATTGTGGTATAGCCCTAGTCCCGTAGGGGATCTCAGTCATCTCATCTCACGGGCTTTTTTCCTACTTGCGTCACTGCGTGTACGCAGGACATAAGTGCAAATGAAATTATACACAAAATTAAATGTCCTTTTCTTCATTTACTAATTATTTCATCAGTAACATTCAAATGAATTTTAACTTTTCCGTGCGTGTGCACGTATGAAAAACACTCAATTTGCCCTTTAGAACAACACGCATCACGGCTGGAAACAGCATAGAAACCTTTACTGCGATGAGTAATACGACACTGCCACGTAAGCAAATTTGCATATTTTCGATGTTTTGGACAACTTTGTGGCGTGCTAGTAAAATATATACACGTGCGCGAACCATAGATAGCGCGAACTAAAAGGAGAAATAAACACACAGGAGAGGACGAATCTAATCAGTTTTTGTATGGGAAGTAATTTAATTAAGTAATTTTAGATGCAGGAAAATATATTAGCGAGTGTTTTGCGCGTGCTGAATCGACAAATTTTCAAATGGCACAGAGATGTGCTTTAGTTTAGCAAGGTTGAAGGAGGATAACGGAACATCAGTATCGATTTTGGCTTTGAAAATGCTAAAAGTTCAACTGGATAAATTGGTATAGACGCAAGTTGCCCATTGTCTGGCAGTAACCTGAGTTGTCAAAGTGTCTTTTCCAGATTTTGAGCTTGGCTATGCCTATGTGTGTTCTTGCTATCTTGCATATGGAACGGCGATTAGACGAGTTGCAAAAGTGTACTAGGGCAACAAATACAGATATAAAAGCAAAGTACTTTTCGATTCTAAGGGGGAAGGATGATTTTTTCCTTCGAAAGGTTTTAGGAGGCTTCAAATACTTGAGTGGTTTAATAATAAGTTCTGACCAATCAATGTAAATAATTAAATACTTTTAACCTAGGGGTCTTAATCAAAAGCCTTTGTTTGGTTTCTAGTAGACCTCTAGCCCTATTTCTGTAATTCTATATTCTATATATATATATATATATATATATATATATATATATATATATATATATATATATATATATATATATATATATATATATATATATATATATATATATATATATATATATATATATATATATATATATAATTTTTTTTTTGTATGTATGGGCGAAAACTTTAAAAATAAAAAATAAATAAATAAAATAAATAATAATAATAGGGCGGTAAACGGGAAGGATATATCCGCATAGTCATACAGTAGTCCCCCGCTAACTCGAACTCGCTTAACTCGAACTCCTCGCTAACTCGAACTAAATCCAATTCCCCTTGGATCTGACACTGTTTTTTATAGTAATTTACTCCGCTTAACTCGAACTCGCTTAACTCGAACTCCTCGCTAATTCGAACAAAGTTTGTTTTCCCTTGGTCAAATTTATCCCGTTAACTCGAACTTTGTTTTCGAGTCGTGGACCGGCAAACCTTAAAATGTCAGAACATAGCATTTTGACAACCGGTAACTTGGATTTTTATTCAAATATCAACAATTTAATCGGTGTATAAATGATCATAAATTTTAAGAGATTATACACATAGTTGCGACGATTGTTATTGATCTAATTTTTTTTAGTTCCTTTTGTAAATTTCTACATATTTTTCATGTCCAAAGAACTTTAGTTTGCATGGAAATTGCATGCCTCCTCCATCACCCAAGTTAAAAAGATACTGACTATAAAGAACTTTAGTTATAGCATATGGTTATAGGAATGCACAATTAAACCTTTTGTAATTTTGATGAACAGCATAATAAAACTTTTATACCTTATTAATTATTAACATAATAAACGAAATCTGACACCAAGTCCGGTTAATTCGAAGCCCCGCTAACTCGAACAATTTTTCGTTCCCCTTGGGAGTTCGAGTTAGCGGGGTTCTACTGTAATTATATACAACGTCAAGGTAGACTTCATGACTTAGATTCTTGCACTTCACTTGGTGGAATTAATATTAGAATGTTAGGGTTTGTAATCCAAGTGAGAATATATACATTTTAAGACCTAACCAGGAACGACTGCGAAAAATGCAGCACAAGGTCCTCTGGTGGAATTGAACCCACGGCCCTGCTACAGAGACCAGCTGTTAAGCTGTAACCGTAAGTTCATGTCTATATAGGTAATCGGGTGTGCGGGTTGTGATAAGGTGGACTTCATGACTTAGATTCTTGCACTTCACTTGGTGGAATTAATATTAGAATGTTAGGGTTTGTCTGATGCTGTGTAAACGATGCCACGTAGAGCAGCGCTAGTTGGGCGCGTATTGAGGTATTAAAATACGAAACTGCATGGTCAATCTACTTTAATTTCTATATAAAGAATATATAAAATTAGACAGTTCCCGAATTTGCTTGAGTACAAACAACAGCTTGATATGGAGGCGGCTGGCGTAATGCACTGTAAATATGTCATTTTTATTGCCTGTCAGAAAATTCGGGAAGTGTCTATTGTTTGATAGGAATTCCTATCTTCACCCCCAGTATCTAAATCATCAGAGAAGATTGTACAAACCTCTACATTCAAGAACTACTTCCTTCTGGTAACATATAGCCAGTGTTAGTCACTTTTGTCACTATACCATCATTAATTTGTCCCGGGCTCCTGCTTCCTACGCCCTTGGTTGCAAAGAGGCATAAATATGCGCAATTTCTGATTCAATTGAAATTTACACAGTTTCTAAAAATTATTTAATATTTCTCACAATCCTCCGGCAATGAGCAGTCTTCATTTCAGCCAAGGCATTCTCTAATTCCGATGTTAAATGAACGAGATTCACTGGATCAGTTTGGAATATCTGTGAGTCCGTGTCACCTACATTAAAACGTAAGAATTGCAGAGGCATTTGATGTTAAATATTGCGCTATTAATGCCGAATTTCCAGCGCAATAACTTCATTATCTTAAAACACATGTACCGAATATAATGATGTTCTGTAAACTGAAGTCAAAAAAGTAAAAAGTTCTTTCGGTCCTTTATATAGTTCTTCCCCGGGCATAGAGAGGCAGGAGAAAATTTTAAAATACACATTTCGCAAACATCTATTATCAGCCCATAACTTCTAGCGCAATATTTCGTATCCTTTAAACTCCTTTGGGAAGAGAGGGGCACATCACCCAGAACAGCCAAAAGATCTGAACTTCTTAAAGTATCTTTCTACAAGTGCTTCCGATGTGAGAGGCAGTTATTGTATGGAAGGGAGTGGCAAAAGGTATTTTCGTGAGCCGTGAATTATTTGTTGTCGTGAAATGTGAAACGACGGATTTTTGTGTTGTCAGCTGTGATTGCCGTTAATTTGTGTCCGTGTTTTTCAATTTTCGTGAATGGTTCATTTTTACATGTGAAACGTGAAGTCGCTGCTTTTCTTCACGTGAAACGTGATCCAAACTCCCCTCCCCCTTCCATTAAATGACCACCCTCATGGAAATCCTTGGGTAATCTTCCTCGCTCTCAGTGGTAGAATAAAGAAAAAGATTAATTGATTTAGTTCAATTAATAGTCTTATACGTAAATAGTAATGAGATTACCTTGGCGTTTTGTGTGAAGTTTTAAAAGTATCTGTGGTTCAGTTTGGTGATGAAGAGATCGACTTGCAAGCTGCAAAATTGAAAACATTTTCATGCATTGACAAATTTATGTTGCAGAGAATCGGACTTTCCAAAGAAGGACGCGAAAATTTATTTAATCGTGTTGTAAAACAACTAAACATGGTGATGACTAGGAATTTTAATTTTCAATTTTTATTTTTAAATTTTAATTTTTTAAATTAAAAAGAAATAATTTTTTTTACTTTTATTATGTTTGGTTTTAAAGTTATTTGCTGGGCTCTGCTCTTTATCTTTAAACTAAGCATAGAGAAAGTACTGTATCGACTTTGCAGTTCTGATGTTTATTACATGCTACATGAACAAAAAATTCTTCATCACACACAGACCTCGTAATTGGCCTATTTTTGGCTCGGCAAAATTGGGGATTTTTTACCGAGGCAGGTAAGAACATTCTCAATATACCTCGGCATTTGCTTCCGATCGGTAATTGCGGAGGGTCGAGGCGAATTACGAAGGTTGACATCGACCAAGTTGAAAAAAAAATTGACATTCATCTGCAGCCTCGTTGCTAGAGTGTTCACTTAATTTATCATACTCTGGTACGAGGTTGTTCACTTCAAACCTCATAGAAGAGTATTACCTGGAGTAGCATGCAGTGAAGGATATTTACCTGGACATCAAATCTCCATTCTAAATTATGATAATGCGATAGTTCCAAAGACAGTTCTCCCAGTAGTCTTCTTATTTCATTCCTATTTTCCAAGTAAAGCTGCAAGAAATTTAAACAGAAATGTTTGCTTTGTAATTCGAGAGAAAAAACGAAAAGAAAAAGAGCAACACAACAACCACTCAATTTGAAATAGATAAAACTTCCGACTTGTGACTGTCATGCACGCCACAGAAAGTTGAATAAATTAAGAGTTTTAAATGCTGTGCCACGGCAGGTGACGAGCCACAAGATGAAAGACCAAATTAATGTTGTTCAGTTCAAACTTTAACATTTAGGCAGCCTAGACCTAGACAGGTGGCACTCAATTTACAGGATTCTAGGTTCCAGTCTTCTCACATGAAAAGCACTAAAATATAAATAGAAGGCCCTAGGTCTATGCTGATATTTAGGAAAACGAGAGTGTTCACTGAGTGCTCAAAAGCTGAATAGCCTACATCTACCATGATATAGCATGATAAGCATTGTTACTGTACAACAAATTTCCTCAAAAAAGTTTTTAGATAGACTTAAGGCCCGGTCACACTACACAGCGATACTGCGATAACAATACGATAATTATGTTCGCGTGTCCACACTACAACGAAAATTATGATAAAATTATCGTTTGACGATAACAATTTTAAAATCGCTCACCCAAGCGAATTTATTTTTAGTCGGACAATAGTCAATAACGATTAATTTTTTACCAATCATCGCGCGTATACAAGTTATCGTATCGTTATCGTTGTATAGTGTGACCTGGGCTTCAAAGTTGTTTTTCCTATAGTTTGTAACAAACTTGCATGTAGAACATACAAATCAACCTCCTGAATACCCACCCCAAAAATGTCATATGAATAAAAATTTCATAACAATCCTAGCCTGCATGGCAGGCGGTCTAAAATACCGCCTGCTGGGTTTGGCAGTGTAATTTGATAACCGCCCACTTTTTTGTCCGGGTCTAATTAGCCAATCAGCAAACACTAAATATATTAATAATCAAACTGTCAAACTATGTTATTGTTTGGTCGCAAAATTGCAAATGTTTAAAAATATGTCGAATGAAGCGCCATTGAAAGTTTCAGGTAGAAAAGCAAGCGCGGAAAATGTAAATGACTTGTCGTTTGTTTAAGTGTGCTTTGAAACTAAAATACGGGGCAATACGCCAATAGAGAAAATATCTTATATTCTTATATATCGTCGGAGAAATTATTTATTTAAGGCAAGCAAAAGAAACGTTACGACAGTGGTAAAACCTTGGCCGAAATAAGCCGAATTGCCGGTTCAGTTCATTTAGGAATCGAGGTTAATTCTACCTCGGAACTATCCGACCAAGTTTGTAAACCATAATCAAACGAGACATAAACGCGTTGCCTGTGTACGTTCGAACAAATAGACAGTTGTATATTAACCTCAGTTGCCAATATTAACTGTCTCATCTCCCTAACGAAGCTGTGTGGTAACGAAAGCCTTAAAAAGTTCAGAAAATGAAGCGACTAATAGGCCTCGGCGTAATAGTCCTGTTATTGTTATAAAACCCGTTGCAAGAAAGACTATACGGCCGTCTGTATCTATTCTCGTTATATTTTCTCGCGCCAACAAGAACAATGTAAAAATCAAGCTTTTCCCATAGAATGGCCAAAACATTCTTTCCATGGAGTAAATCTTTAACTGCTATCTCTTGCTCGCGTTTGACAATCAGTTCGCGTTTCGACTTTCGAGAAGCGTTCAGTTTTACAACACCTATTAATTAAAGCGAACGCATGCACATTACTGTCGTTCCGATTGAAGTGTTCCTCAAATATTGATTCAATACATTACCTCGGACTGACCAATTCATTTGATCAAGTTCCTCGAAATATTCATACACTTCCTAGTATAATTGTAAACTTCCTGTTGAATAGTTTGAATGCACCAATCACCTTTGTTGTCTGTGCAACTAACCAATCATAAATAGAAAGGAAGTGACCAGAAATGATCAAATACTTGGAATTGCCTCTTTCACAGGAAGTGTATGAATATCTTGAGGAACTTGATGAAATGAATTGGTCAGCCTGAGGTAATGTATTGAATCAATATTTGAGGAACACTTCAACTGGAACGACAGTAAAGTGTCAAACGTATGTTTACATATTAAAGTGTATTCACTATTGAGTGACAGCGGCTCAGACTCGCAGCCAATCATCAATTCCCGTCCACTGGTGGACGGGGAATTCAATTACACTGCCAAACCCAGCAGGCGGTATTTCCCAGGCTTGCCCAATTTTAGGAACAGCCTGCCATGCAGGCTATAACAATCCAAGAAGCAAAACAAACCTGGAGTAAGAGTTTGTTCAATTCTTCAGAGAAACCTAATGTCATAACAGAATCTTGAAAGTCAATTTCTCCAATCTTAAAAAATAAAATTAATAAATTATCAACATTAATTAAAACAATGCAATGTACTGCACAAAACATTTCATTCATGCAAATAGCTGCAATTTTAAGTGAATGCAGAACTGTACAGATGTGTACATAAAAGAACATAATACAAGATAATAACACACCATAAGACGAGAGCTTTCATTAAAAAGATAAACCAATCCTTCCACTGCTTGTTTCACCTGATTCACTTGAACTCCAAGTTTTTCTAAATAATTCACACTTCATTGTAATTAACATTAGGTTCATGTTGGTCACATGTGCCTCAGTGATGTGGCCTACTTTACTTTATCCAATGCCAGTTGTATGATTTTACTAATTGAATGTCAAGTCTTAAGTGATAGATCTTTACTGTAACCAGAGCTGCCAACGCCCCTTGTTGACCATTAATATTCAATGTGCTTAGTATATAGCTCGATATACTGACATACTGTATATTACATTTTATTAAAATTTTTACTTTACTCTGTCAGATGCAAGATGATTTTGCACACCAAGTGGTCATAAGTCCCCTGGGACGTCACTCCAGACCCCAGCTACTTAGGTAAACTCAATCTTCTCTGCAAAAACAGAGTAGACCTAGCAAAAATGCTGAAAAAAAACACTGAGAAATTGCTGAAAAAAGTATATATCGACCACTAAAAGTAAAAATGAAATGTTTGAAAACAGTATTCTAAGTGGCAAACTTTGAAAATTATGCAACTTACAATAGTCTACAGCATTTGTGTTAAGTTAATACATAAAAATGGAACTATTTGAAAACAATCATGATGCAACAGTGTATTTGTGTGAACAATTAAACACAACGCAGATACAGACATGGATGTGTGGACACAGATTTTTTTGAAAACACAATGAAATGTTTACATTTTCAAAGGAATCTGTACATTATTATATAAACCACTCATAAAGCACACCCTTCTGTTCATCTGACAGCAAATCTACAACTGAAGTTTTATTATATAACCACCCTATTCCTATTCTCAAATGTTTTCTTTTGTATTCAACTTACGAGCAGCTGTTTGATAAATTTTAGGATTGGATCCTTTCAAAATAAATTCAAGAGATATTCTGCAAAATTCTCGAGCAACTAGACAAAGAAAATTAACAAATAATTAGGGGTGCACTGGATATAGTATTCGGCCGGATAGTGACAAAATCGTACTATCCGGCCGGATATTTACTATTATTTGTTTTTCATGAAGTGTACTAAATTTCCGTTAATTGAAACATAAAAAATACTAAAAAAAAATAGAAACCCAAAAAAGGACGTGTGAAAAAGCTAGCCACTGACATAATTAAGTGAACTATTCGCAGAGTTTGGCGCCAAAAGCTGTACTAAATCCCATCGCTCAAAAACTTTCGGAAGTTTTCGGAAACACGTGAACAGTGGAAAAAATTAAAAACATATTTTTAGTTAACCATAATTCACTTATTCACCAATAGCGACGCCATCTTGAATATGATGCATTATGGGTTATCCAGGGTAAAAATCCGAATTCAAAAGCCTTTAATTAATGTCGTATTGAGACACAAAACGATAAATTTTTTTTCATAAACACTTTCTTGAGGACAATGAGGCAGTGTAAATCAATTTTATGCGCACTTTGTTGAAATTATTTCCCTTTTTAGGCCTAACAAAGATTTAAACTATAGATTTTATCCTGATTTTTTTTTATTTTTCACAGCTTTTGTGTGTTTTCCTAGTTCTTCTAAAATAAAAAACGTGTGTTTTCGCCTACATATTTGATTTACAGCCCTTCAAAAACGCTCAATTACCCTGGATCACCCATAATGCATTGCGTTGAACTTGAAATTCAAGATGGCGTCGCTATTGGTGAATAGGTGAATTATTTACTCAGAAATTAAAAAAAATAGTGTCACCTTCTTCTGGACTAATACATGGATGAGAAAAATCCTAATTATAATATATATAATTATATGTCAAGTATTCAAATTGATAAAATATACGGTATCCAGCCGGATTGTTTTTAAATATCCGGCGAATCCGACCGGATAGTAAAAATCATTATCCGGTGCACCCTTACAAATAATATATAATATTAAATACAATGTACAAAAAAGGCAATATTAAGTATTCCAAATGCATCCAAATTTGATTTTACTCATCAAACTTGCTAACCAGGGCCAGACATCCACTGAAGATCACCTAGTGATGTCACACCAATATACCTCAGAGTTTCGTATCCTCGAGCCTGATAGCTCTGGTATGAGATATGTGGGACACCAGTACTACACCAGTCCTGGACAGCTACGTGTAGCACATTTCTTTTGTGCAAAGTGTTAAGGAGCATTCATTGATAAATATTTTTAGAACTAGAAGTTACTAACGCAAGGAAAGTGCTGCCTCGCGGCCAAAACTTTGGGTTAGGTTGTTCAAAATCTGTGGATAATTCAAAACTTAATAACACTATAATGGGAATATAACACTATTATAATTTTTAAACAATGAAAATTGTATTTTATTGTAACAATCATGTGCATATATGTTACAATAATATTCTAATTATCTAAAATTAAGAAAACAGTTCTCTGTAATGAAACGGGTCCATTTTCTGAGCACTCCAAACAATAGTACCCAATAGAAATAAGTAATTATGGGTCATTCCATGGCTTATTTGTCTGACAATATATGTATAATGTGGCCCGCAGGGCTACCTCCACACATTTAGCTATTATGAGATTGTCACTAAGGTTAACTTGCAGATTTTGCAATATTCTTAGACACAAAGTCAAGTGTGGTCACTTCTAGAGTAATAACCTGGAATGACTCACAGTTAATAACACTATTAATAATGGATAAATATAATGCACAAGAGCCAAGGACTGTTAGCCCCCCCCCCCAGTTTTTTGGGCAGTCGGGCAATATTCGATCAACAGTCGGGCAATTTTGGTTTGCAATAAAAATAAATGGGACAAATGCTGTCAATTTAGTGGAAAATTCAGTCAATATTTCAGGGAGGTCGCCGAAATAATATTTCCGGAAAAAATTTTTTAGGTACTAGTCGGACACAATCCCGAAAAGTCGGGCAAATTTCTTTCCGCCCCCCTAATTTTTTCCTTCCGGTACGCCCATGTATACGACACTATACAGCGTTATACAAGACTACTGTATGCAACAATATATAAGGTTATACGACACTCTACAACACTATACAATGTTATACAAGACTATAAAAATTATGACACTATACAAGATTATACATGACACCATACTACACTAAAGAAGACTATACAACACTACACAACGTTATGCAACACTGTACGACACTATATAAGGCTATACGATACTATACAATGTTAATTATACAAGACTATATGACATTATACAATACTATACAACACTATACGACACTATACAATAATATATGACTATACGACACTATACAACACTATACAACATTATACAAAACTATACAACACTATATAAGGTAGTGCTGTGCAAACTCCGGTTTTTCATCTCCGGCTCCGGCCGAATTACAGCTCTGAGGTCCAGCTCCGGCCACATCATAAAATATTAAATAAATGTTTTATGATCAGAGAACATTTATTAATATTATTATGAATAACCCTTTTTGCACTTCCTAATTATCAGATAACATAACTCAGGAAACAAAACAGTGAAACCACACAGAAAATATCTAATATATGGAAACCAGCCTCGAAAAATCTTTGACACGAGGCATGACGCACGCAAACAAAGTACTCTGTCATTTCGTTATCTACAAGGCATGAATACACAGACTACAGTATGTAGCGCTAAGTCAGATGGCTTCATGAAAGCATGACGTTTGTAAGTTGCGATCGTATTACAGCTTTTCAACGCTATTCTTGTGGGCTGTGGCAGTTTGAGTCTATGATGAATTCATTAACAGCAATTGGCAGTTTTGCAGTAACTGACAATCGTTTGACATTTGTTTCATTTCATATTGTTTTCTTGTCATTTTGCCGGAGCTGGGAAAACGTAGCTCCGGCATACAAAATTCTGCTCCGGAGTCGGAAAAACCACCGGAGGTCCAGCACTGCGGCAGAACTCCGGCTCCGGCAACTCCGGCGCACAGCACTAATATAAGGCTATACAACACTATGCAGCGTTATACAACACTACACAATATATAATATACAAGGCTATATACGACACTATACAACACTATATAACGTTATACCTTACAATTATATAATATTGGATGTCTATAGGGATGGCCAATATTAGCCATTAAAGTATTATTGGGACACCTCTCACACAGGGGTTAAACATTGCTAATCCAAAATGCTATATATGCAAGGTTGTACAATTAGAAATAAAAAATGCTTTGAGAGTGCAGTACTCAGCATAACTTTAACTCTGATCAGAGAATTCTCAATGTTGTCTGAAAGGTGCACATTATCATACATTCCCTCATTTACTTGGTGTACGCCCCAGGGTGCATTCAATGTAAACACTATGCCAAACGGTCGAAGATACATATAGTATTGTAATTTGCCAGACTCACGCCGGATATCTTCCCACTTTTGTGCACAGAATGCACCCTGGTGTATGCCAGGAATTTCATGCAGTGTGAAAAATACATGAAGCTAATACCTTACTTTTATCATCAGCCAATAAGATGAGAATCTGAGGTAAGATGGGAGTATTGCGTGCAGGTTAGGTTGAAGATTTTATTGTGTAAAGAATTTTGATTATCATCATCATGTACCTGCAGTTTCAGACCCTCCAAAAATGATCAAATGAACAACCAACTCAAGTCACTAGCAATTTTATATATATTAAAAACAAGAAAAACGAAGATAAATATAATTTTATCGTCGCACATACCTTCCACTTGTAGATCACTGAGAAGACGTAGGTGTTCTTTATGTTCTTGAGATAAAATTAATAACATTGTGGTGGAAAAACAAAAAACTAAACAAAAATATTTCCTGTTTCTCTTGCAAACTTGGGAATAAGCACTTGGCGCCCGCGTTCTATTGTGACTTTAAATACTTTGTGTCGTCTAGGTTAAAAGATCACGATTGAAGGCTGAGGTTAGCACTATTTTCCATCCAGCAAACCGCCCTATTGGTGTTCTAAAATAGTTTCTTTTCGGCTTTTTTTATTAATTTGGTTAGGGTTAGGGTTAGGGTTAGGGTTAGGGTTAGAGTCAGGGTTGCGGTTAGGGTTAGAGTAGGGTTTGGGTTAACACCTCTTCCATCTTCCGAAAATGACGTCAGGTCAGTTTGCTGGATGGAAAATAGTACTAACCGAAGGCTGGAGAGTATAAAGTTCAGGGAGCACCCGGAGTCTCTAACGTTCGAAGAAGACGGTCGGCTCTACAGTTTCAGATTCGCAGTTTCAGATTCACATTCAGATTCAAATATGAAAATCGATCAGGTGTCTGGCGTATAAAATGTCGAATTACTCCGTTTCTTTCTACGCAATAAACTTGTTAACGAATTTCATTCTTCTTCAGAACATTACACATTGAACAAATGTATTTTGAAGGCTTTAGCGCAAAATGTGAAGTCAGGAAAAATCGCAAAAGATAGACGATCAAGACGTGAATTCATGCTGCGCCATATTGCCGCAAGTGATCGGCAATATTATATTTCTCTGTCTAAAGCAAAATACCCGTTGTAGCTCCCTAATCTCTGAAATTCATTCACTACTTTATTTATTTTTTTTTAATTTTTTTTAAGGTTTTCGCCCATACATACAAAAATATATATATCTATATATATATATATATATATATATATATATATATATATATATATATATATATATATATATATATATATATATATATATATATATATATATATATATATATATATATATATATATATATATATATATGTATATATAGAATATAGAATTACAGAAATAGGGCTAGAGGTCTACTAGAAACCAAACAAAGGCTTTTGATTAAGACCCCTAGGTTAAAAGTATTTAATTATTTACATTGATTGGTCAGAACTTAAAGTAAGTTTAATAGAAAAGAAAAAAAGACTACATTATACTGAATGGTATAAAGTAAACAAGATCCTGAAAACGTTTGTCGTTTTGTCAGGAAAAATCGCAAAACGTAGCTGACGCGAACCGACTTTTGTAACCCGAAGCGAATGACAACAACGCAGCTGAGCGAATAAATCCTTCTCACGCATTAAGGTTCGGTCACACGGAGCGACAAGTCGCAGGGGCATGTTGCAGGGACATGTCGCGGGGTCGAATTTCATCGTGTGTCACATGTGTAAGCGTTGTCGCGGGGACAAAAAATTGTCCCCGCGACATGTCGCATGAAATCAAATTGATTTGATTTCATGCGACGTGTCGCGGGGACAAAAACCGTCGCCGCGACTTGTTGCATCGTGTGAGCTAGTCTGTTCACAAGTCGCGGGGAAATAATTAGTCCGACCAATCACAAAATATCATTCCCATGACTACTTGCACGCTCAATTTCAATATAAGTTCTCATGGGAGTTCTTTGACTTGTCGCATGAATTGTCGCCTCGTGTGACCACGCGCCTGTAAGCGCTTGTGCGACTTGTTTTCGCCTAGCATTGTCGCTTCGTGTGACTCGTTTCGGGCGACATGTCCCTGCAACATGCCCCTGCGACTTGTCGCTCCGTGTGACCGAACCTTTACACGTTTCCATTGAAATATTTTCCAGCAAAACCATTCTACTACAACTATCATAGAATGATATAACGCACTCGTTAGCTTCAAACAACTTCTAGTTTCAGCAGGAAAAATCGCAAAAGACAACTCGTCGGAACTCGTGCCGCACTCAAAAATCCGGGTGGCCATTGGAACTCTCCTGCAAGTCCGCTCAGTCTGACATAATGCATTTTTTACTTAATAGTGGATCCATGCCAACATATATAAAAAATTGTAATGTTTAGCCGTATTTTTTTCGCAGAAAAAGTACTTGAAATCGTTTTATATGTAGAATGATAGAATGACTGACCCCCCGGATTTTATTGTTCCATATTGAAATTTCCCGTAGTTTCACATTCATTTTCAGATTCGCACTAAAACAGTGATAATCTGCACAAATCGCTAAACCACTGCAACAGTTTTAAAGCAGCCCATACCGTAAAGATTTTCATTCATCTACATTATTGTGCGCTTCATTTGACGCGGTTTTCATTGCGATTCACCATTGTGTGCGTGCAGGAAAAATCGCAAAAGACAGACGATCAAGACGTGAATTCACGCTGCGCCATATTGTCACAAGTGATCGGCAATATTATATTTCGCTGTGTAAAGCAAAATACCCGTTGTAGCTCCCTAATCTCTAAAATTCATTCATTACTACATTATACTGAATGGTATAAAGTAAACTAGATCTTGAAAACGTTTGTCGTTTTGTCAGGAAAAATCGCAGAACGTAGCTGACGCGAACCGGCTTTTGTAACCCGAAGCGAATGACAACAACGCAGCTGAGAGAATAAATCCTTCTCACGCATCACACGTTTACATTGAAATATTTTCCAGCAAATCCATTCTCCTACAACTATCATAGAATGATTTAACGCACTCGTTAGCTTCAAGCAACTTCTGGTTTCAGCAGGAAAAATCGCAGAAGACAACTCGTGTTCGACTAAAAAATCTGGATGGGCATTGGAAGTCTCCTGCTGGTCCGCTTAGTCTGATACAAGTGCATTCAGTTTTCATAATAGTGGATCTATGCCAGCATATTTAAAACTAGTGACTTATAATGCTTGGCCGTATTGTTTTCACGGAGAAAGAGTTTGAAATCGCTCTGTCATGTGTAATAATATGAAGGGATTTGAATGTGTGAGCGATTATCTGCTCTTATATACACTCCGCAAAACCCGGCAAATAAGATCTAATTTATGCAACCTAAAGCAAAACAAAAGCCAAGACCATTCAACAGGAAAGTGGCCAAACGAAATGTTTGTTACCCACTTTTGCAGAAAAAGCCTTACTCGGCAAAAATTGTACGAGGATTTTTGGAACATTTTTTTTTATTTTTGAAATAAAATAAATATATATATATATATATATATATATATATATATATATATATATATATATATATATATATATATATATATATATATATATATATATATATATATATATATATATATATATATATATATATATATAATGTTGGTTGATGTCGACAGTTTATCGAAGAAAACAAGAACGATAATACAAAATGAAAGACTTAAATTGTATATTATTTATATGAATGGTATATTTATTTTCTAAAATCATATTTGTTCAGTAAATGATGAATTGTTTTGAATTCTAAAATGATCCTATATTTTCAAAACTGTTTACTTTTGGGTGTCAAACCCTGATAAAGGTACAAGTATATAATAAATAGGTTATCGTACTCGGTTCGATAAACTGTCGACATCAACCAACACGAACCTCGAGTCGGCCATCTTTGTTTTGACAAGGCGCGAAATTTAGCGGGACAAAAAACGATATCCGGGACAAAAAACGATACCGGGACGATATCGTTTTTATGTCCAGCTGCTTCCTACCTGATAAAGGTACAAGTATAAATATATATATATATATATATATATATATATATATATATATATATATATATATATATATATATATATATATATATATATATATATATATATAGGCCTATATATATACACTGCAAAAAATCAAATTCTAGTCTAGAATAATATTCTTATTTTTTAGATTATTTTTCTTATTTTAAGTAAATATTTCTTATCAAGAAATATTTCAAGAAAAAAAATCTAGTTTTAAGAACAAAAATCTTAAAATAAGAAAATATAACTGGGCAAGAATATTCGAGAGAATTTTTTTCTTATTTTAAGAATAACATTTTTCCATCCTAGAATAATATTCTTATAACTAGAAAAACAGTCTTGAAATAAAGTTTAATATTATTTATCGCATATATCAAAACCTTTCTTTTGGCAACTTTTGCATGGCTAAAACGAGATATGATATAGAATTGAATAAACCTAGTTGTAATATTGTATATCTTTCATTTTTTTTGTCAAATTTGAAGCTGAACGGCTCTGTCCTGAATTGTCGCAGTTTCAACATGGCGGATATCACAATGAATTTGAATATGCCCAATGAATTGCTGCTATTGAAAAATAACAATTATATATGAATTCAAATCATTTGCAACAATCGTCTATCTACGCTTTAATGAAGATGGTATGATCTACCGCAAAAAATATCACGGTTAATGCTGTCAAATGTTATGACATGCGATACGTTAAACGATAAAAAATTTATATTATTGCAATTGGCATATAATTTTTTTAGAAACTTTGTCTCATTATTCGCTTATAAGAATTTTCATCATTTTTTTATAATCATTTTTTTGGCCAGATTATAAATGCTTCCTATAGTTTCAAGCTAGCGATAGATTGGGAGCGCTTTTTGGTGTATGTATTTTAGAAGACAAGGGCCACGCGCGCAATGAGTTGTGGGATATCGTATATCAAGTATCAAGTGTGATTTACAAATTTTCGACTTTTTCGTTTGAGCATATTTCGCTCAATAATATCGTGTTTTTTATCATATTTGGTTCTGGATAAGTGACTCCGAATCCTGCCGAAGGCTTATTGATCTCAGGTATGAAATATTACTGTTTATGTCGTATAATTATAACGTACATCGACCGTATTTACTTATTTTATCTTGTGGCTGTTATAGCCTGTTGTGGCTGTCTGCTATTGCTGTAAAATTTGAATTTGCGCGCGAGAGGTTTTATATATTGAATTATTTCATTTCAATTCCGTCAAATATTAGTTAAAATCAACAATTCAAATTTTGAATAAACACATCATAGTAAATACTGGGTTACACTTGCCACTTGGTTGACAAAACTGGAGAAAGCATGTTTGAACCCACATAGTATATTATAAAACAATATGTGAATATGAATAATATTTACTTGCTGATTGCTTCAAGCCTATTATTAGCCAAAACATGAAAATTATTTGAGAGTATTAAACTTACAATTACAATGTTATCTATCTGAATCATAAAATTGTTAACTCAATATATAGAATTGATTATAATATTAGCTTATCAGTTCAGTGCATATTTCTTGGTTTATAGCATGTAAATGGATTGACTTTAAACTAATATTTCTCACGCTGGGTTGCCGAGATGTCTCTACCGCAAATGCAGCAGTGCCTTTATTATAACTATCAACCACAACTACAATCTATAATACATATTGTGCAAAACTATCATGAAGTAAACAATAGCAATGTGTTCTACAATTATTGGGTGGGGGGGAGGGTATAACCTGCACTTGGCGGCAAAAAGACAAGAATGCTATAACTATGTGCGCATGTCCAACAGGACATGCGCCGCCCCCCCCCAGGCTCCCCAGCGTGAGAAATCCGTTTCTCGCTTCTTTCATACTTCAGCCAGCGAGAAACTCTAATTCTCACGCTGGGTTGCCGAGATGTCTCTACCGCAATGACAAAGTATAGAGGTATCTACGTGCTATAAAATGTTCACTAATGGTGAGTTCACTATAACTGTTCACTATTAAATTTGACCAATATTAATGTTCAAAGTCCTAGACTTTTAGATACTCGTAAAAGAGCATTTTTGGTTTCTTTGATATACATGTTCATGGAAACCTCTGATCGCCAGCCTCCATGTCTTTGGATGAGGCGGTCTGATATGCCCCAAGCAGCTGCTTCTGTGGTACCCCCTGAGCGGAGACTATGTAGACCATACAGTGAGGGGTCCAACCCAATGCCTTTCAGTTGTTTGGAAAATAATTCTCTAGCTCGAGAATAGGTCATCTGCTCCTTCCTTAACTTCATTCCTGTCGTTGTGTGTGAAATCTTGCGGAACACAAAATCACTGGGTCTGTGTCCACCTCTACGAAAGAACTTCTCCATTAATTGCACTGGACACGTAAGATTAGATGTTCTAGCAATCAGAATCCACGAACCTTCACGGTATTGGTCATTCTTTCTCTTATGCAGGAAAACTCTCATGCAGTCTTCCTGGAATGAAAAATCCTCTTTTCTAAGTCGTGACAAGTCATCCCACCGTAAAAAGCCACTGAATCCCAATGCTACAAGACATGTGATCTGTAAGTTGCTAAGGTCGCCCACACCAAACTTATTAACCAGTTTCTTGACATGTTCCACTCCCAGTGGCTGCTTTCTGTTTATCGGTGCAGTCCCAATAATTCGCTTGGAACCTTCAATCATCTGTTTGATTAATGGATGCTCAGTTGGAGAAACCATTGCCATTTTCTGATGAGCCCACGATATACCATACACAGCAGCATATATTGTAGCCATGGATTTTGCATTCTTTATCAGAGATGCTAAATATAATGCAAATTCATATCCAGTAGCTGGTAGCACCTGAAGTCCTTTACTTTTTGCCCAAGATTTCCATTTATGGAAAGCATTTGCATATTTCTTTACCGTCTGCGGAGCTCTGTCTCGTAAGATGATCTTAGGTATGTCACTGGCCAGAGCATTTAATTCGGGGTCATGCAGTGTTCTAGTGATCGGCACTTTTCGTGAACTGCCTAGAACAAGATATGGCAATGGTTAGCTAGGATGTTACACATATCACACACTACCAATGGATTATAGCACTTCTCACAAGCAAGTTTACAATGTATTGTGATGTATCTATGTAATGTGTAGGCATCCTGAGTGATGCCTCTCGCAATTGTACCCCAGCATGTCTTCAGTTCATCCCAGTATGTTTTACACATATCATACCTCTCACAGGTATAATGCCTCTCACAGGCTTATATAGTATGCCTCTCACAGGCTTGATAATATGCCTCACAGGCTTGATAATATGCCTCTCACAGGCTTGTATAGTACACCTCTCCCAGGCTTGTATAGTATACCTCTCACAGGCTCATATGCAGTAAAAAAGCCTCTCACTGGCATAACATGCCTCTCACAGGCAATGCTATCAATTTCCCTTTTATATAAATGGTCTCACATTGGTTGTACAGTCTCCTTGTGAATGCCCGAACCTAACTTTTAGTGCAAGGACTCTGTATGTAGGACTGGTACACCTGATCCAAACAGACATGCATGTTCAACGGCTGGAACAAATGTATCTTCGACCAATGGGATGTCTAACCAATCTACTACCCAAGGCACAGGGTGTTGCCCATCCACTGTGAGGAGAGGCCATCATGGTGCCGATGTCCACAATGGCACAATCAATGTACCATCTTCACAGTTGTTGTGCATGTGGGATATAACTTTAGGTATTAAGAATGGAGGAGGGAAGATCCAGTTGTTCTCCCCTTTCCAGCTAGTCGTAAATGCATCCACTCCTTCTGTGCAAGGATTTAACCATCTGCTACAGAACCGAGGTATCTGGCGTGTCTTGAAGGAGGAGAATCTATCTACTGTGTGAGGGCCCCATAGGATGTCTAAGGCAGCAAAATAGGTTGGATTTAACATGTAGTCATCTTGGTCCATCTGGCGTGAGAGATAATCGGCTTCTTTGTTTAATTCCCGGGGAACCCACTCAGGATATAGACGGATAGCCCACTGTCTACACAGCTTGTAGATAGCAATGACTATATCATGTATCAGCTTTGATGAACTACCAATCTGCAGGACTGTCTCCACATTCCTGTTGTCAGTACGGTGTCTAATTTCTCTTCCTTGGAGCTGTTCTGCGTAAGACAACAGCACCAGATAGGTACCCCTAAGTTCTCTCCATGTAGAGCTCTGCATAGATTCTTCCAGAGTCCAGGCACCTTTGGCTATCTGTCCTTTAACTTGAACACAATAACCGCCCCAACCAATATCACTAGCATCTGAGTATGTAAGGATCTCAGGCTGGGGGTCAGACAACCATATTTTCTGTCCATGGCATTCTTCAAAACTATCGGACCAAAATGCAACTTCTTTAATAGCTTCATTATCCAGCTGGACTGATTCACTCCATGAAGCAGTAGACATCAGGTTACGGTAGAGCCCCCTGGTCCACAATCTAGCTATCGGCCCTAATGCCAGACCCATAGATATAATAGTGCCTGTCAATTTTGCTATCTCAAAAGCTGTTGTGTTAAAATTCCTGGACTTGATATTATCTAGTAATTTGTTTAGCTTAGTTATCCTTCTCTCGGGAACCCTGAAGTATCCTTCAGCTAGGTTGACAATAAACCCCAGCACTTCATCACATTGGGTAGGTTCCCAGCAGCTTTTGTCGGGATGCCAAATGAAACCACTCTGATCTACATCGCTTCTTACTCTATTGGAAACTAGGCGAGCTTGTTGTATTGAGGAATGCCCCCCAATCCCGTCATCCAAGTAAGTGAATATCCGAATACCCTGGGAACGCCAATGTTTCAATAGGGCTCTCTGAATCTTCGTAAACACAAGTGGGGCCGTAGCCAACCCAAACGGAAGGACAGTAAATACAAAATATCGTTGGTTGACTCCTTTCCCCCAAGAAAAAGCCAAATATCGGCAATGTTCTGGGTATATATCGACATGATGATAGCCTGATTTATAATCAAATTTGAAAAACCAATCGCCGGGACTGAAAATATCCCTAAATGTTCTTAGGTCTTCATACTGAAAACGCAGTACTCTAAGGAAACTATTGAGATAACGCAGGTCCAAAATTAGTCTATCTTTGCCATTATGGGATGCTACACTCAAAGGAGACACAATGTAAACACTGTCACTTGACACTTCTTTAATGCAACCACAATGTAATAATTTATTTATTTCAGAATTAACAAACTCTGCGCATTTAATCGCAGATCTATGATTATCTAACATACGTTTCTCAGGAATATCAATCAAAGGCAACGCGTATCCCTCACGGATAACTCTCAAAACCCAATTTGATGCTTTTATCTGTTCCCAAAAAGCAATGTTTTCTTTAAGGCGACCCTTCACACCTGAACTGGGTTGTTTTGGTGCAACAAAAACACAATTATTTAACTGTAACGAGTGATTTGTCAAAAATTCAACATTATATACATTATAAGAGTCGGCGTTCGAACAATTCTCCTCATTGAGTGATACTCGAACGACTGGGCTCGTTGTTGGCGACGGCAGATCTGCAAACGCGGGCGATATGTCCTCGTCTACCGCAACGAAAACACGTGGTATCCAAACTAGAAGAAGGGCCCGCTTGCCGTTTCACACTTTGACCATAGCTTTGGCCATAGCTTTGACGAGAGTTAATATCGCTAAAATTTCTTTGGTATGAAACAGATGGGCCTAATCTGGAATGGGCCGACTGTGGTTTAACTACAACACGTGCGATTTTCCGTTTCTCGTCTTTCAAAGCTTTACTTTCTTTAATGGCGCGACGTATTTTCTTGTCGTCGTCCGAGTCGCTTGCGAGGGGTTCTTCAATATAACAGTCAACTGTTTCCCACCCATATTTCTCTGCAAGTTTAATGTGTTTGTTACGCTGAATTAAAAGTTCCTTACCTTCGTTCAAAGCTGCACCGCGTTCCTCGTCATCAGAAACGTCCAATGCGGTTTCAATCTTTTCGAGGACGCTTTTGTTCAGGTCGTATTGTATTTTGTTCCTTTTGAACTTGAATTCTGGCAATGGTGAGCGTTCTCGTTTCTTGCTTGTTTGTTTACCCTTCGCTTTGATCTCGGTCTCCAGTGTTTGCAGGCGCTGATCTGATTCTTTATGTGCATCCAATAGTTGTTTTGCCCAATTCGGCATCCTTTCTTCCTCGTTTTCGTTAGAATGGCGGCTGGAGCCTCTCGAAGAACGATCGCGTGAGCGTGATTCACGGCGAGATTGTCGATGTCGACTACTCGATTCTGGATTTTTAGGGCTTTCATTATGAGCTTCAAGGCGCCGAAGCGCTGAGGCAGACTTTTTAGACATAGTACTAAGAATATTTAAATTATATTTAAATTATTTTGATGAAGAAGGCACAAGTATAACCTGCACTTGGCGGCAAAAAGACAAGAATGCTATAACTATGTGCGCATGTCCAACAGGACATGCGCCGCCCCCCCCCCCCAGGCTCCCCAGCGTGAGAAATCCGTTTCTCGCTTCTTTCATACTTCAGCCAGCGAGAAACTCTAATTAACCCATTGGCATTGAGCTGGAATGTGCCCCAGTGCGCCCTACTTTTTTTCACCTGTCTAACGCCTGTGTCTTCACTCATGTCTAACCCTGCATTATGTGTGTGATATATTGTGCCTGTTTATGTGATAATGGCATGGCTGGACAGGAGGTTTTAATCCAGGATGGTGTGTTTAATATATAGACGGAATACACCCCGCCTCTCTGCCTGGCAGGGATGATAGAGTGCTTGTATAAGAATTTCTCGTCCTGGCAGATGCAATCCCGGCAACAAATAATGGGATCCTGCCTAGGCCAGAAAGAAGTAGAATAATTCACTTTACCGTAAACAGTCAATAGAGTTCATATTGCAAGCTAGATGAGATGGGGTGTTAACGGGATATTCCACTAGGCCGTACATTGCATAAGCTGCATTGTGCCACAACTTTATTGTTTTACTCCGTCTAATGTCAGATGATTTTACCTGTCAGTGCCATCACTCAACGGGTTACTGAAACAAGTAGCACTTATTTCACATACAACTGAGGTTAAATCATAACCATATGAATGTTTTCTGGAATTTGAGGCAATAGCATATTAAATCACAAATACCAACACCATCGCCGTTACATTTTATACCAATCTAATGGATTTTGCTGCAAAAATTCTTTCTCATGTTATAAAGTCTATTCTATTATAATAGAATGATTACAAATAAATTACTTATTTCCTTTCATGGGAAAATTTGAGTCATTATGGTCAATTTGAGTCCGAGAAATCATGGTCCTACAGTCAAAATGTCAAATTTTAACCCATGAAGTTGCATCGCACCCTTTATTGTATTCCTGTCTAATGCCAGACAATTTTATTTGTGAGTGGGAGAGTGATGGTGGTTAATTGGTTAATTAAGGATGCCAAGTTATATCATTATGCTTTCAATAAGTAACACAGTTGTAATTTAACACTTGCCCGGGGCAAGTGAATATCATTGTCACAAAAAGCTGGGCATCTTCAAGTTTATGTTTTCATTGCCAGATAAATTTTTTATGCAGTGCATGTTGTACTTGTGCATGGATTCAAATTTTGTTTTTCTGTGGGCCACAGCTAGTCTGAAGCAGTATAACATAGCCATCTAGAGCAGTGGAAGAATGTGTCGACATGTTGTCCCCTTAATTTATAGCCCCTACCTGGGTACCCCAGTGGCCATTGTCTCATGGCAAGTTAATTTTATTCACGGCAACTAATTTTCATATCCAACTTGGCAAGTTGAACTTGCCCTGATGACAAATGGTCAAAAAAGTAAAGTTATACCACTGACTACTGAGTAAGGTATATATGAGCTACAGTATCATGGTTATAAAAACTCTGGAATAAGGTATGCGGTTATTTTCAAAAAATTTACATTATCACTCATTAATATGTCTGCAGGTTGTTGAAGAGGATCGGAGGAGCCTCAATCAATCCAAAGAAGCAGAAGAAAGTGCATACATGAGGAATTGTGAAAAGCAGCAGCTGATTGACCAATTGGACCCACTTATTTACTATCATGGCATTTCAAAAGGAGTTATGAAGCCACCACATGAACAGTGATCTGGTAATTAAATGATATCATCTTGTTTTTTTATTAATTAGAGTACCGGTACCAACATTGGATTCATTAGCACCAGGGGTGGAAAAAGTATCGGACCACGGGACCATTGGTACCAACATTGGATTCATTAGCACCAGGGGTGGAAAAAGTATCGGACCACGGGACCATTGGTCCCACAAATTTTTTTGAGTTCCCAGAAAATATTTCCCCAAGAAAGAAAAATTGTAATAATTCAGATAAAAGGAGAAATTCAGAGGAAAATTAACACCATGACCTCAGAAATGCAATTATAAGTGCAACCATCTTAATAGTGCGATTAATAGTTTTGCGATAGTGTATAAATGTATTAGACTATAGAATGATGTAACAATTGTTGTATGGCAAATGCATTTTTAGCCAATCTGGGACACTTGATTTCAAAATTTTCTGGGAGCTAGAGCATGGATCCACCTGATAGTGCCCCCCAGTGCCAATTTTGCATCTGTATTTACTTTAGGATCAGACCCTTGATGCATGTTATCTATATTAGCTTATCTATGTTATATTTTAAGATTCTCAGTGCACTGAAATTTTTTGCGGTCCCAGAAGTAAAATATTTTTTCCACCCCTGAGCTTGTTAGTGAAAACATAAGCTGTTAATTAATGAGGGTTGTGTAATTGTTACCAAAACTATTTTTGTGTTTTTTTTTTCCTCAAAAGGAAGGAGACACAGACTTGACTACCTGGCTGCAAATGAGACCCAATGACATACTGTATCATATCAAGGCTGATCATGACATGGAGCTATTGGCAACATTCGAGAATAGCGAAACTGTCTTTACTTCCTGGCGTTGTTCTACAGATTATATTCTCCCAAAGCATTCAAGTCAAGCAATGTCTCTTGCGAAATCGGCTAAGATGATATTTACCACGCGTATCAAGCCGACTTAACTGTACCTGCTCGACTTAGACTACCCATCCAGACTCGGCAGTCTGACATGGTAAAGGCTTTTCAAGAAATTGAACAATATTGCTACGTGTGAGAACTTTTACATTTATCTATCAGTAATTATACTTTAATAACCTATTCATGTATAGCTGGTAAATATATTATTTTAAACATTCTTAATTGTTTTTATATTGTAGGATGACAACAGCAAAAAATCATACCAAGATTATTATTCTAGTTTCATATTGTCATTTAAGAGAAATATTCTTAAAAGCCATGCACACCGGATCGAACTAGAATAATTTTCTTAGCAGGATTTCAATTCAAGATAATTTTTCTAATTTTGTCCCATGGGTAAGTAAAATTTTCTTATTAAGATTATTTTTCTTATTTCAAGAAAACGTTTTAGCAAAATTTTCTTATTA